CAGGTAATTAAAAAGGGTTTTAAAAGACTCAGTAGTCTTTTGTCCGTCACAGACATACACACACATACACACACACCCACAACCATTATCTGCTGCTTTACTCGAAGCAGCTTTTAACAATGGGATCCGGACAAATAAAACTCACCCAAACATCAGGAGGAAAAGGAATGAAAAGAGGGAGGGAGGGAGGGAGGGAGGGAAGAGGGGAAAAAGAGAGAGGAGAAAAAAAGACTTCAGGCTTTTCCAGAGGCAGTCAGTCAGTTGAATGTCTCATGAAGTTCCTTGAAGAGGTGCCAAGGCCTCTACAACGCAAAACACAAAATCATTCAGTGGGAGGGAGAGACATAGAGAAAGACAGATGAATAAAGAGTGAGAATGGGAGGCAGAAAGTGAATCATAAAAAGAGATAAAGATTAAGAAAGAGGGTCCGGAGTTGGTTGGCTCTGAGCTGCAACAAAAACATCTCTGGGGGATTTGTTCTGCCCTGTTCTGAATCAAAACACTTTAATGTGAGCAGAGAGGTGCAGAGGTACGCTGTCTGTGAGTGCTCTTTAAACTATGGACAGTATCGTACAAGTGTGTATATAAGTGTTTTTGCTTTCAATAAATGTATCGCCATTGGGAATTGTTGTGTGTGTCTGTGTGTGTACGTAAGTGTGTGTGTGTGTGTATGTGTGTGCCCTTCCCTTGCCTGGCTTGCTTCCTCCAGGCTGGAACGCATGGACCACACAGACGGCTGGCAGCGCTCCACGACAGCCTGGCTCCCCCTTTCTCTCTTTCTCCTTCTCTCCTTCGCTTGCTGCCTCATCTCCCAAACCTCCTCCCTCGTCTCTCTTTTCCACTTTTTCGCCTTTTCTCTTCTTTTTTTCCAGTTCTGTTTTTATTAGCTCTCCTCTTCTTTTTTCTTCCCTTTCTTCCTCTCTCGTCTCTCTTTATACCAGACCCCCATGGTAGACGGGCGTCTGGCTGTCACCCACTCAGCGCTTTTCCTCCCGCGCCACGCTCTGCCAGCTTCAGATTGCCACCTGAAATAATTCATTGTTTCTGACTGCTCACAAAAACAACATGGCCACTGTGAGGGCTCCAAATAAAAAAGTGAAATATGGACCCAGTGTATTCATTCATCGACTTTACTGGCTGTTCCACCGCGAGATGACTGACACACACATACATACGCACACAAACACAGACTGGCTGATTCAACTCAGGCTCCATGAGCATGGGGGTTTTTCTGAATCAGCCCCAAAGATACATTCATTCGAGCTCACCCAGTGATCATAAACCAGACTGAAGGGCTTAGAGGGCATGACGTGACACCAAATTTATAAATTATCCCATTTATTCAGGATTTTCTGGCGCTACGCATTTTCCTCACATGTTACTTAGTCAGGCAGCAGGCAGGAGAATTTCCTACTGATGTGTCTGTAACGATAGCTGAAACTTGATGTGTTGGTGGGGGGAGGAGGCTCTTTAAAGGAGTAGGTTGACATTTTGGAAACACCTTCCTGGTGAGAGATATATGTCAGTACGGTAAATATCTTTGTTTGAATATCACCTTTCAAACAGGTTAGTGCAGTTGATCGCGCTTCACACATGACTGATAAGCTGATAATAAGTAACATATGAAGCTATAGCCAGGAGATGTTAGCATGAAGACTGGAAACAGGAAAACAGTTAGCCTAGCTCTGTATGAAGGAAGCAAAATCAGCCTACAACCACTTCTAGACCCCACTAATCGAAAACATTGTTTATGTTTGTTTAATCTGTACAAATAATATTACCTTCAGGCAAATCCAGGCTACCTGTTTCCCCCTATAACTTCATATTTATCTCACACTTGGCAAGAAAGCGAATTAGCATTTTTCACAAAATGTCAAACAATTCCTTTAAACTTTTAGCCCTTGGGACTAGTTACCCTTGTCATGCAAAATCCCAACAGCAGCCATCCCATAGCTAAAGGAATTTGGGTGTTTGAGGAATATTTTCAGCCAGAACATATGAGGGAATAGCTAACCATCCGTTAAAGATCTCTATGCTCAGGCTCAGATCCAATATAATGCTGCCATTAATTACGGGGGACTTATATTCTGTTTGCCTACTTGCTCTTACTAACTGTTATCAGATCAGCAGGGGCGAGTCGAATCCAGACTTATGTCTCTTGGACGGCTGAAATAATACTATTCTAGGATCAGTGTGCAACTGTGTGATTAGAGATACTATCTACAGAGGTGTTATCTAATCATTATTAATCTTTTTTTAGTGTGTGTGTGTGAGTTTGTACTGTGGGCAAAGGTGTATGCACCATGCATGTGCACAAATGTGCATGATTGCATGCGCAGACATGTGTTTGCATACATCCATTCTTGCATGTGTGTGTTTCTACGTGTGTTTTTTTGTGTGTGTGCAAGTTGCTCACATCTGGTCTGAATCTGTCCATGTTTCCGGCCGCTGGCTGGGCAGGGAAGTGGCAGGCGCTATCGAAAATCTCCGCTGTTTTCACAGGGATGATGGGAATCTCAGGGACTTTCCCTACGGCAGTGAAATCATCCGCCTTTCCCGCTCCTTTAAATACCCCCGGCTCATTCCTCCGCCCTGCTAGGGTTCCGATAAAACAGCTGAGACGTCTTGTGTTTGGCAACAGTTGTCGTCTAAAAGGTGTAATTAACTCATGAAAAACTGTATTTACTGTCAGGGACTGCTAAACTAATGGACTTGAGGTCTGGCTATTTGGAGTGTAAAGTGGACCTTGATGTGGTGGTTGACATGCTGCATTCCTATAAGAGAAAAAATACATTGGTTTCCTTTAAACAGGGTTGCATCCATAGGTTTTTTGACAGAATTGTAGTCGAGGGTGGAAGCTGAGAGTTACTGAAATTGTGTGATAAAATTTAAGTTACCGGTGATAGAGAGCTGGCTTATCATCCAGATCAGAACTGTGTTCATCTTCTTAAATATACATGTAAATATCTGTCTGTATTTTGAGATCTCCCTCAGAGATGTCAAAATCCCAAACCCTCTCTAACTGTTTCACCATTCGCTGTACTCCGTGCTCAGCACTCTTCACAGAGCATGTGTCTCCTGACTGGTTCAGACCCATCCAGAGCTCTTAATTTACTGGTCATCAGGGTCTCTTCCTCTCCATGCGCCCCCCTCCCCCCCCTGTGCCCCCCCCCCCCCCCCTCCTCGTGTCTGTCCCCCTCTGTCTCCCCTCATCTCCCTTGGTCTCCCATTGCTATTTATTCCCATCACTAGGAGACGGGCTGTGCACAAAGCCCGCACTGTGTCCCGAGGCTTTTTTAGAATAGAAATTCGGTCTGTTGAAAATGGAAACGCTATGATTGACTGGGCACAGCTTGCACAGAGAGATGAGGAATGCCAGCGAGAGGCACAAATTATCCACAGGAACGATGAAGAAATATTATTAATGAAATATGGACAAGAATTATGTTATAAAGTCTTCAATAAGCTGAGGTTTTCAAGTAGCCGATATTATTCTACGTCCCAAAGCAGCTATGTTAAGAAGCCGATGATGAGATTGTGTGTTTATTTTGAACTGGATGATGCCAGTCCAGTAACGTCATTGTAATAAAAATCGTGGTCTGTCACTGGCGGCTTTTTCACTGCCGCCATTCTCAAGTCTCATTTCATAGCAGCAGTATTTGGTATTAAAATTCCAAACTGTTGTTCCAGAATAAATTAATTTGTTGTGAAGAGTCAGATGGTTTATAAAAGCATTTCTGAGGCTGAAATAATTTTTTTCGAAGATGCAATAGTGGAAAAATGCTGCGCTGAAGATGAGGCGGTTTTTAAAGGATTTTTTTTTCTGTGTCTTTTAGTGTTTATTTGACAGTGAAAGTGACAGGAAATATGCAGTAACACAGAAAGCTGGGGATGGCATGCAACAAAGCTTCTCAGCTGGGTCGAGGGGGGTGGGTATTAGTACATATGTTAGACTATTAGTCCACATGGATCCCCAGTGAGCAGTTTTCTGTGGTCTTTGATCTTCGTAATAATCCTTCAGTAACACAAATGATGATTCTCCTCTCCTCTCCTCTTCCTCCATAACACCCACCCAGTGCTATAGGTGTAGTGCCAGGCCTTTGTTCCCAGCCCAGGCAGGTTGGGCAGGATTGTGAAGTAGCTCGCTGTTTCTGCCTGAGCCAGCTGGAGCTCCGCCAAGCACAGCAGGAGTTTCTGCTCTCCTCTGTTTGATATTTACTTTACCGCCTTTACAGAGGAACTAGTGCGAGACCAGACAGACGTACTGACACAGTCCTATGTCAGTGTTAAAAGGGACTGTGTGTGCACAGGCCTCTGTTTTTACCCCACCTTTGCAAAACTATAGTCTACACCTGGGCTGAGGTTCCCACTACAGGGCCAACAGGGCTGCACGATCTATCTGTTTGCAATGTGCATGTATTGTACATGTATATTGGAGGAGTCCAGAGATACCAGCCTGAAAAACTGATGAGAATAGGATCAGGAATATAAAGGGTGCAAGGTGATCAGCGGAGGAATGCAGGAAAAGAGCAGCTATAATATATTTGGCAAAGGTTACGACTCCTGTGGGGATAATTGGGAAATGGCGTGAGAGGAAGGAAGAAGCCTCAGGTTAAAACTTAACATACATGCAACTTCTTACTCTATCCCTTAACTCTCTTTTTCTCCCATGCAAGGTTGATACAAGATAATTGCAGAGGTCTTTGTTAATTAGCAGGATGTAGCATCCCATTCCCAAAAGCCTCTGTAGCTCTTCTTTGATTAAGAGCATAAACATTTACTAAGTAAGGAATGGCACATGTCCATTATACAGGAAAGTTGTATGCCAAGAGAACAGAAAACAAACTAACGTTAATAAAATTATGTTTTGCATCCAACATTACAGCAGTAATAACAATATAAACACTCATATCTAATAAAATTGTCTTTTATTACAGCCTGGATCCCATCTGTGACTCGTGCAACTCTGATCCAATGAAAAACTCTGTGTGTGTCTGCAGGGCATCGTCAAAAGCTCGAGGACCCTCCAAAGACTGGTCTCTTCTCAGACCGCCTCAGTGAGCTCGAGAGGATGAGGGTGAGGGTCACCGTTCCCACTCAAGCCCCCCGGCCAACTCTCAACACGGCAGCCAACTCCTTCAACCCGCAGGGACAGACGCAGATAACAGGTGAGCACCGAAACATCACCTCTTACCTTACACCCAAGAAGGACTGGGTTCAAGCACCATTACAACAAGCATCCACCCTCGTGAAGCAAAGCACTGAGTCTCTGTCGGCTTACTGTTCTGTAGTTGAGCTTGACCTCTGTCCTCTGCGATTACATGGTTAGGGGTCAACAGTGCTTCCAGTGTGTTGTGTCATTGAAATAAGTTTAAATATTGCACCATATTCTCCTGTACCGAACAATGAAACCTTTTCTACTCAGAGTGAAAATCATTTGAGGCTTAACCTATTGTTATTGTGCTTCTTTTGCTATGTGACATCATGTTTTTATGTTTCCTGCTTCCAAGAATACCAGACATTTAATTAAGACTGGGCAATCATTCAGTATTATTGTATTTCGACTTTAGTTAAAATCATGTCATTGTGATATGATCTCACTGTTATTTTTACTAAATTCACTCAAAAAAAACTAGAACATATTTCATTACTTTTGAACATAAATTTGATTATTTTATATGGAATTATGTGTTATGCTTTTTCCATATTGTGATTTTTAAATTAAGTTAAATTGCTAAAGTCAAATCATTATATTAAATCAGAAAAATATTTTTAATAATATCACAAAATTGTTTTGAAACAGATTGCCCGGGCCCACATTTTACGTTTGTGTTTCTGAGCATTTTAAACATTTTCGGTTTTTCACATTGTATTTTACACACAAACTGCAGAGAAAAAACAAATATAGCAGTGTTGAAGAATTTAATGAGAAGGGGGGATATAGCTACACTTTTCTAAACAGTGTCCTAAAGAGATTCACTGAATAAGCGAGCAGGCTGAGGCACAAGCTGAGCAACATTTACTGTATGGAAGGCGAAATATCAAACCCCAACTGGAGCCCTGGGCCGCTCCTGATGGGGCCGGCGGTTCATGCCACAGAACGCCTTGTGCAGTGTCTTACTTTGCCTCTGAGATCGTCTGTCTTTCTCTGCTCCGTCACTCAATCTATCTACGTCCTAGAAGGTAACGCCATCTGTCACGGTGCGGGATGGCTGCTACCTGATCGCCCTCACACCTCTGCAGACTCGTCACAGGTCGTCATTTAGCTCCTAGTTACTCTCTGACACGGCTTTGTAGTGTTACTTAGTGGATCGTTTGAAGGATGGTTAAACAGCGTAGCGGTGTGGTGGTGAATGGAGGGTATTATCCGCTGGACCATGTCAGCAAACTGCCTCTCAGGTGTAAATATTCTGAGGTGAAGTTTGAATTTTAGGAGTGCAGTTGTATTGATTAGAGCAGTGATTGTCAGATGTACCCCCACAGCCCCGTCTCATCTACACCGTCATCGACACCCTTCATGTTCGAATATATTCTGAATTTATCATAAACCTGATTTTATTTAAGATTATTAATTATTTAAGAGTTTTCATCAATTGATCTGTGAAAGGTTGGTCAGTTTGGTCACCTTTGCTTTCTTACTGCTACTGTTTGGAGTGGCAGAAGCCTGACGTTCAACTGTCATCCATTACCACTTCATTAAGCTCGCTCTACTATTTATCCATGATGTTTAGCTGTTTCAGCTAGCCTATTTATCTATTAATTAATTTTAGCAAACTATTTGCACCATTTATCCAGTAGTGCTTTAAGCTAACCATTTTAACAGTTTTGTCATTAATTTAATTTATGTCATTTTGATTTATCCATTACTTTTAGCTATCTATCTACTTTAGCCATCCATCCATTAGCTATTTCAACTTTCACCATGTTTCTTCATTACCATAGCTATTTTCTATTATTTATCTGTTTTGTTGTTGTTGTTGTTTTTCTTTTTCTTTTTTTTCTATTAGTTGAGCAACTCTGCAATCTTTCCACACAACCCATAACAACCACAGAAGTGCCCCCTGGGGAACAAGTACCCCTGTTTGGGAATCACTGAATTACAGATTGTAAATCACAAATTAGTTCACAAATATCAACATAACACGTAAGAAAAACTTACACATAATGCGATCGCCATCAACGTTCATGCTTTGCACTTATATTGCAGCACAGACACAATGTTGAAGTATGTGCAACGGTTATTTTCATGGCTGGTCTACTGGTGTGTTTACACCCTGGGTAAGTGCCAGCAAGGCTCTCTGTGCCTCAGCTGCAAGCACAATGTTTTATAAGGCAAACAGGAAGATCTTCTCTTCGAAAGTAAACATCAGATGTGTCATTACAGAGGATGTTGCATAACACGCCCAACTGATACTTACCTCTAAACACAAGCGCAGAAAAACACAGTCACTAATAATGTCTGCAGTTGTTGTGAATGCTGTTGTCAATTGGCTCCATAGTTAAGCAAAAAATTCGAACATGCTGAAGCAGCTGATTGGCCTCTGGTAATTATTCTTTCTCTTTTCCTGTCTGTTTTTTTTCTCTCTCTCTCTCTGTCTTTCTGGCTTATTTTTCTCCTTCCTCCTCTTCCTCCCTCGCTCAATTTCTCCCCATCAGACCCTCGTCAGTCCCAGTCCTCTCCTCCCTGGTCATATGAACAGACGTACCCGTCCTACCTGAGTCCAATGGCATCCCCCTCAGTCCACTCCACCACCCCCCTCTCCTCCAGCCGAGGCACGGGCCTGCCTGCCATCAGTGACGTGCCTAGACGATTGCCAGGTAGAACCACCTCTCTGCCACCATGTGAAACTGCCCGGCTCCTTGTCCGGTCACGCTTCACTGATCTGCTACAAATAATCTAGATCACACATTTCTCTTAAGCGATAGAGGGAGGGACGGAAGGGGGGAGAGAAAGACAGACGCTCACACACACGATTTTCACACTCAGACAAAAGCAGAAACATAAACAAAGACTTGTTCGGTGAACTACAGGAAAAAAAAAAGGATGTGCTACTATTTAGTAGAAGACTAATACACCACAGCGAGCTGCTATTAGCTCATTCTGAAATGAACGTGAGGAATGAAGTATGTTGTCAGAGTCAGACTGTCTATCCAGAGAGCGGTTTGGATGGCGTTTTTTAAACAGTGGAGGAAAAAACGATTGTTTCCTTTTTTCCTCGCTCCAAGCCTTTGATCCCAGAGGAGTATGGGTAATAACAGGCCCAGGGATAATAACAGGCTCGTGACTGACAAATAAAGTGTCTTTATAGCGATACGCTACTCTCACAAGGCATTCTGGGTAATTGCATTAGCCAGTCTGTTTGCTGTAACGGCGGCATCTGTGTTCCAATTTGTCTCTGTTTTTCCCCCAATGTGAAAGCTCCTTTAAAATCCTTACATGCCGCCAGACAAGTTTCTCCCCCGTACACCTGTTTGACTCACTGCCATGAGAGGTTTTTATTTTTTTTTTCTACCCTGTTTTTTTTTCCTTCTGTTTCCTTGTGCTAACATACTGCACCCTCCTCTGTGTGTGTGTGTGTATGCCCCGAGCGAGGGTGAGTGATTACGCGACGCGGCCGTGTGACTCTGCATTAGAAAGGGTTTAAAATCCAGCCAGCTGCCTTGTCAGCTTTGATTAGTTCGGTCTTCCCCTTCAGCTTTCATCTCACGAGCTTCAGGCTTTGTTCTCAAAGTGACACACATGCATGTGCGAGGACGTGCACACGCATAAACACGGGCCAAGACCTCGCCTCCCACCTTTTACCCACTCGCACACCTCGAGCGCTTAATGCATCGTAAGTGATGTGACTAAGGCTCTCAGATCTCTGGAGATCATGTTGACACCTCGCCAGGCTGCACTGTAACAGTATCCAGCCACAGAACATACCGACAAGTACAAGCAGAAGCTGATATGGATGCTCCAGTGCAAACACAGCACCTTCCCACCCCCTCCACACACACCTTCACACAGTCCAGCTCTGCTGTTGAAATGTTACAGCTGCTAAGAAGCAGTTGCAAAAGTTCATCAGTCAAGTCAGACACCTAATTTGGAAATGATGCTCCAAACTTTGTAAAATCTCTCCAAATATGTTCCACTCTGGTTTCATTTAAACCAATAAAGTTCGATCTGGCTCATCATCACACGGCCCCTTTGAGCACTAAAATAGGTCCAAATGTTAAAAGCAGGAGTCAGGAGTTTATTGAACAGCGCCGGTCATGTCTGAGATCACACTGCTCCTCTACAGCAGAGACAATCACCTACTATTTCTATTAGAATCAAACGGATCTTGTGGAAAGAGGAAGTTTAAAGGCCTTAATTGGCAGCATATGCTATCTGACGCTAGCGACAAACCGGGCTTCGCAATTCCTCCCTGCACATAAACACTGCGTCCCCCCCACCCCCACCGCTTCTTCCCCGCCGCCCCCTGTCCTCTCACAGCAGACATGGTGACACGGAAGACGCCTGGTGATTTATGATAAGAGCGCCATGGCTGGACTAAACCACTGAGAGGAGACGGGAGGGAGCGCGAGAGGGGGAGGACCTCCTATTCTCCTTAAACTCTGCGCCCAGCGCGAAGCTCGCCGCAGCCAGTTAGTGGTTTTTGGGTATTTTTTAAGGGATGAAGCGAAGAGAGGAACGAAGGGTGAGATGGAGCAGCTCCTTCTCAGCTCTCTCTCTCTCTTGCACACTCGTTCGGGCGCGCGTGCACACGGACACACACATACACACACATGCTGGAGCCGATGGGAGGCGAGGAGAGGAGCCACATCAGAGCTCAGCCCTGCCTCATTATGGATCTCATGGAAACTGTTTCTGCTCAAAGTGTTTCCACATGTGCAGCTCCTGATTCATCCCAACTGCTTTTTTATGTGCATACAGTATTCACACACATACATCCCCCTCCCTCACACACACACACACACACACACACACACACACACACACACACACCCACACACACACTGTGTTTGCACGATGGAGTGTGTGTTTGCATGCATAAACAGTTATACAGATACACATAAACATACGCCAACACACACACACAGAAATATAAATACGCAGAGGCGTAAACATATTAAGACATATTCATGTGTGGGACTCTGCTGATGTGCTTTTTAACTTTATCAAAACTCGGGAGTTGAAGTGAACAATCACAGAAGTTGATGGATATTTATGAATAAATCGTATTTCATAACTGTGCCCACACAATCCTTTAGCCAATCCAGATTGGTTAATACTCATTTCTGGCATGAAATGTCTGATTACGTACAATTCAGTTTACTACCGTTTCATCTCTCAGGGGACTTATTTGTTAAATTCAATAGTGCTAAATAGTTTAAGAGTCCAGTGCCACATTTCACTTAATCAAAACTGACAAACCGGTAAGAAGTGTTATTATTGATATAATATATAGAACATAGACATGATATAATGATATCTGCTGCTCTGTTGATGTCAGTGAATCCTAAAAGTGTGTGTGTGTGTGTGTGTGTGTGTGTGTGAGTGTGTGTGTGTGTGTGTGAGTGTGTGTGTGTGTGTGTGAGTGTGTGTGTGTGTGTGTGTGTGTGTGTGTGTTTCTTCAGGTTCTTCCGACCTGAGCCCATTCCCTGGCCAGTTTGAGCGTCAGTTCCCGGGCCTCTCCTCCCTCACAGAGACTCGTTTCTCCAGCCCTCGGATGCACTACCCGGCCACCTTCACCTACACCCCGCCCGTCACCTCCGCCATGTCGCTGGGCAGCGCCCACTACCACACCTACCTTCCCCCTCCTTACCCAGGCTCCACCCAGAGCCAGAGCGGACCCTTTCAGACCAGCAGCACACCCTATCTCTACTATGGAGCGTCATCCGGCTCGTACCAGTTCTCCATGGTTCCCGGCGGGGATCGCTCACCTTCCCGGATGATCCCGCCTTGCACTAGCGCCTCCACGGGCACCTCCCTGGTGAACCCCAACCTGCCCAGCCAGACGGAGGGAGGGGTGGACGGCGACGGGAGCCACAGTAACTCCCCAACAGTTCTCAACCCTGGAGGCCGCATGGATGAAGCTGTCTGGAGGCCATATTGAAGAAAGCCAGGGGGTGGAGATTGGAAGTCAACTGATGTCATGGTTTGAAAGCACAAAACCTTTTTTTTATTGAAAAGGGGATTTTTGAGCTCTCATCAGCTATCTCTACCTTTTACTTGGAAATTAAGGTTGAGATAAAAAAGAAAAAAAAAGACCAAACTTGTATGGACTTGTCTTCCTGGAATGTGTTTTGACCAAGGCACTACAAAGGGAGTCATTCTCACAGCAATAATGAGAAAGACAATTTTGGTTTACTAGGCCCAAGTGGATGAGACATTATTTTAGTTTATTATAATCCACAAGCTAAGGGATGCTTCAACAATATTTGTAAGAGACTGCCTCTTTTGTATAGTGTTTGTATTTCAGTAAGGCTTTTTGCAGAGCATGTTTTTGTACTACGACAATATCAAGATGCAAGTTAAGCACTGAGTAGCAAGTGATGAGAGTAACACATATGTTACCTTCAGTGGTATGGACAGTAAATTTGCTTTAAATCAATTAATTTAACTTGTATATTGTGGGTGAAACGATGTAGATTGAGGCGTTTTCTTAGTTTTAACTTATAAAGCCATAAATTATGTAATGTATTTGAAACTTGAGTCAAAGAAGTGTAATCTGAATATTTTTGATGCATCTATATGACTAAGTTAAAATGAATTTTTTTTTTTTTTGATAGGTAATTTAACAGAGTGAGAGGTTTAATTTTTTTGTAGTACCCAAAGATTTAAATCGTTTCAAATATGAAATGTAATTTCCAAAGTGTATTGCGACATGTTTCTTCTGGTGTAACTTTCAGTTTAACTGCTCCACACGTTAAGAGCCCCACATCCTCGCTAGGCGTTGACACACATTTGGCTTGGAATTAAACCTTTGGTATTTATTGAGCAATAACTCGTATTGTGCCTCTTGGCAACATACCATGGAAGAGAGCTTCAATGGGGGAAAATAATTATCCATTTGGGGATAAAATCTGCTTTATTTCTTTAGTTTGTCTAGTCTGACATGCACACAGATACATATGTATTTTCTTGTCCACATAAAAAATGGTACATTTATACACGAATTGACATGTAGCCCAAAGATGATTGCGGCGGTGCCTCGTCTAGCGGCGCGCTCCAAAGCAGCAGGTCAGACTTTAAGGTTCACTCAGTTTGTGATACATGAACTCCTCAGGACTGGAATAATCCTTGGGTGATCCCTGCATGTCTTTTTTCATATCCATTTTGCTCTGTCAAGATCATAGGGAAACATGCCAAGTCTATTGTAGCTTCCATATCATGTGCAAAAGATAGCTTTGAAAAAGTTTGTCTTAGTGTGTGACACACATGGGTACTTGTCTTTGTTTGTTTCTTTGCGTTTTCTTTTCTCTTTCAGTCTTTGAGACTGAGAAGGAGATATCACAGTTAAAGACAAAATGGGCTGTGACATTCCTCCAGACTTTTATTTATTTTCCATTTCTTGCTTTTGTTGACATGGTTTACCAAATACATTTGTACCATCCTCACTAGCCAGTGTCACGGTCTAAAATCTCTCTGTGGCACCAGGATAAGTGGGAGGTCTGATTTATTTTTTTCCAATCTAAAATTACTATGTGAGATTTTTTGAAAAAGCGTTGGAGTAAAAGGAAAAAGTGCAAAAACCAAGGTGATTGGACGCAGCTGCTGGCAGCAAACTGGTAACCAAAAGATATGGGAGACTTGTGTATGTTTGTTTCATAAAGCACTTATTTCTTGTTTTATTTCTAGCAGCACTTGTGGCTGGCTGCCAGCAGGGCTCGTGGTTTTGGTCCTCAGTGCAGATATAACGCCACTGGAGTCACACACACAGACACACACACACATACGCCGAATGGATAACACTTGGCCAAACAAGCCATTTACATTGGAGTTGAATCTGATCTCAAAAGGCAGTTGGTATTTGTTTGAAAAAAACTTTTCTTTTTTTTTTTTTTTTTTGCTTTCATACAATATGATATTCAGTGCATGTAGGTAATATTATAACCCAATTTGAAAAAGCTGAGAAAAACATGGCCCTGTCCAAGGATCAGGCTTCAAGCTTTTCATTGAAGGTTTGCACGCAGTGCCTCTTTCCCAGTCTCTGCAGAGGATGTTCTGAACTCGCTTAATGGAATTGAACATGTCACACTACATTTCCCCGACTGCTTCAGCCCAAACGAGAAGTGTTTTTGCTGTTACAGTGTAACATAAGAAAGCAAATAAAAACCTTTTAGATTGTTGTGATTTTATAGCTTTTTTCCAATTACAAATTTACCCAGTGTCTCCACAGTAACTATGCACATCTGTTGCAATTTATTTAAACCTCTTCTTTTTTTTCCCAATTTTGAACAGGAAATGGTCTTTTAAAAACTGTTTACACATCAACGCAGCACTGACATCCCATTCTGTCTTCATGTGCTTTTGTTTGTGTTGTGTTTTTTTTTTCTTTTCTTCCTCAGAAAAGAAGAGGTTCGTCATTTTCTTTCTTTTGGTTTAATGTTGCGTACAGTCTGTCATCAAAGACCTTGTATTATTTAATGATCAACATGTATGATAATCCAGGAAACGTACTTTACCCTGCTCTTATGTAAAGTTTACTTGTTATGTCTATTGTTATGCTTCTTCTCTCATGAACACTTGTCAGGAAACTGAAACTAATGGAGACTCCATTAGATTTTGCTGGTACGTTTCATCAAGTGATTTTTTTTTTAAAGGGACAAACAGACCTGACAACAGTGAGTGAAATTGGCATTGTGATTGTACATTTTGTTTATTTTAAGAATAAAATAGGAATTTTGTAACTTAATTTTTCCTCTTTCCTCTTAATCTCCTCTTTCCACCAAAATGATTGTTTTTGTTTGATATGAAAAGGAATATGTATGTGTGTATAGAGATTATCCACCACATTTTCTGTCTGCTCTCAAAGGGGTTTTCCTTACTGTTACTTAATGAATGTTGTATATGCTGAGTTTGATAATAGAAGGTTGTTTTCATATTTATTTGCTTGAAGGGGAAAGTTGAAAGTTTCCTTGTTTAAGTGTTTAAGATGTTTCCTGCATACGTGATGATGTTGTGACATCACCACGGGACGCCAATGGTGGTCCAGCTTGCAATTTACACAAGTGTGATGTGGAAACTTGTAACTTCCAGTGCACAAACACTGAGAGTGGAAGTAGAAGGCATCTTGTGTTCAGTAGTTAGACTTCTGAAAGGAACATTATTTGCATATTCATAGATTTTGAATATTTCTGTGAGGGAGAAGGAGAAGTTTGCTTTTAAGAGGGAACTGAACATTTTTTTAGAGCAGATCTTTAATGTAAAAAGGTTTATGTATCCACCCTATTGTCTGGGTATTTGGATTAGATTCCCCTGTCTGATGAATTTCCATTTAAATAGAAAGGGCCACCAGTGAGCACACTGTTAATTCTCCAAGAACATTAAGCCGTGTCATCACCTGTTTAATCTTCTCTGAAACAGTTAACAAGCAGATCTGTGAGCATGTTTTGCATTGTAAGCACATTTAGCGGTGTCATCTCTGGTCTGCCGGTCCGTCTGCACCAACATTGTCTTTGGACGGGGACTAAGGCGGGCTGGGGGCCCCCGGCACGCTCAGCCAGACTACTACTGCCACTGCCACTGCCATGGCTTCATTTCAAAGGTGCACAGGGAAACCAGAGAGATGGAGACAGGAACAGAGACAGGGAGAACCAGGGAAGCTGTTTTACATTATTCCAAGACATAATAGAGCCAATCTAAGTGTGCGCACACACACGTACACATGTTGAAATAGAGAGAGAGAGGAGAAAGGGAGAGCTACACCATCCCATGTGTTTTTTTAAGGTTCAGATTGGGAACATTCTCGGGATTTCCCTGAATATAGATTGCGTGGAAAAAGCTCCCGCTGGTTTCAGGTTCACATTCTCAGCGTTCTCAGCCATGTCTAGCAATTATAATAATGAACTCCGGAGGAGCAACGGGACCCAGACACCCAGAGAAATTAGCATAATGTCCTACATGCACGGGAGAGACAGCAGCACGGAGGCAGACTCATTTATGCGGGGTTGGTATAGAGTTTTTGTCCCTGTTAAATTTGATGGTTGAACATGATGCCAGCGATGATGTGCGCTTGATTTTTATACCAGGTTATAAGTAGTTTTGCAGCAGCGGCACAAAGCAGACTCCACTTTCTTCCTTATGTTATGCAATCAACAGAGAGAAATACAAACAGGAGTTTATGAGGAGACAAAACCACTCCTTTCAGATGACTTTGCACACACACACACACACACAGAGCTGACAACCCAATACAAACTGTTTACTTGACCTCTACAAACGTTTCAGAGGAGCAGCTCAGGCGGGAAGTGATCCTCAAGGGTCCCATACCACTCACAGAGCTGTATATCTCTGCCTATGTTTCCGTCTCCACTAACAGGGCTGAGGGCTGTGTGTGTGTGTGTGTGTGTGTGTGTGTGTGTGTGTGTGTGTGTGTGTGTGTGTGTGTGTGTGTGTGTGTGTGTGTGTGTGTGTGTGTCTACCCTCAAACAGGGAATCCATGCATCTTGATATCTCATTTAGGCCAGAGATAAACCGAGGGCAGGGGGCTCTCCAGTGCGTCCCCTAAATGTTGAATCAGCATGAAGTCCTGACCTCCTTGAACCTCTAATCTTCTGTCATCTGATCTCAACAAATGGCGGCGTTCCACTTGAATGTCTCAGAGGAAGACCATCTTTGAGATCAGCCCATGCCCACCATAACATACACAAAACTGATCTTAATTTGATCAGATTGTAATTGAGCAACCGCCCTCCTAGTCCAAGAAAATTTCGAACTGAGTCAACAATAACTGTGTACTTTGGCGCACTCTAGTGGCTTTTTTATTTAACCTTAGGGACTGGGGTGAGGGGCCCACCCATACGGTGCTCCATACAGCCAAAAGCAGGCTGGATGTGGCCAAACTAGTGCTTATTATGTTATTGGTACTCCTACTAAGGTTCCAACACCCCACATTTCGTCTCTGTAGACTTTAGCCTGCTCAAGAGCTTTTGCGCTGTAAATGAATACCAGATATGAAAAGTTCTTCACCCTCACAGAGACGGGGTTGTAAACGACGACTTGTCTTTTGACCTGTAATAAAAGAAATGATCAATTGGCAGGCGAGCTGCATCCAGGCAGCAGCCCAGAACCTCACAGACATGGTAGGTTGTAAGGCAGCCTGACATCCTGCACCAGAGTCCATTCATCACTAGATTAAAGCATGCCTGTGTCTTTAGCCTGCTTTGGAAACATTTGATTCCATGAAACCATTTGCTGCTAAGTGAAACCCAACTCAGAGAAAAGTGCACTTATGAAACCTAAAAAGCCTACATTTAATGAGTTCTGCCAGTTCAGATTATGCAATCTGATACTGGCCACACTGCCTGAAGAAAAAAAAAAAAAAAAAAAAAAAAAAAAAGGAATTACTGTGAAAATTCAAGTGTCAGGACCATGGACAGCGACCAAACACACAAACAAAAGCCCTCTTTGTCCAAGGCCTTCGCTTCATGTCAGTGTTTCAAATTATACACCATCTCAACTGTCAAAAATGGCAAACTGTTGCAGCACGACTGAGTGTACAGAACATAAGACAGGATAAACCGCAGCTCGCTGCCAAATATTCATGCAAAACAGGCCTTTTCCATAGGTTTCAGCCAGGCAATAAAATTTCAAAAATTTGGGCATGGGCCCCATCTTTGCCTGAAACCAAGCATGAAGGAACTCTATGTGTTCTTCCTGTCAGATGAAGGGCTGTTAAAACTTTATCAGGCGAGTGTTAATTGAGAGCTAATGGACTGGTAATTCAGAGCAGTCGCACAGATCCCGTTCACTGCTGAATGACATACAACCCTGGTGACATTTAGATCACGTTGGGGCTGTTTGGAAAATCCACCACACGACCATAGCCATGTGGGGATGCCAGGCAAAAAGGGGGATGAAGGATGCCCGCCATCATGTCTGGTTCTGCTTTAGACATTCATCCTCTCTGTCTCCAAGGATCATAACTCGTGTTAGAGGCAGGTTTTATGGTTTATGACTGGAAAATAAAATGCTGCGTGTTTCCTGCAGGCGAAGCGATGATTTACAACTATGAATGATAAAGTGAGGGCCCGCCTGACAGTGCGGATGTGTGAGGGCTGCTGAGGATCCAGACATGTCCGACATGTGGATGTGAGTGTGGTCGTATAGCGAGTGTGGTCGCAGTGCGGTTATATACATTGGAACACAGCATAGAGAGAAAAGTTCTGGCTCACTAGTAGGTATCAATACCTGACATCATCATCTCACATAATTAGCACAGTGTCCACATCCTTCTCCAGTGACCATGGATTATTTCATGTGGTTCACAACTGGAACTGAAACCCTAACCAGTAAATCTAACCAAGAGCATAAATACCCCCGGGCTCTGCTGTCTGCAGACATGGTTACTCATTTCAACGACTCCTCTCCAAAAAGCCAATCAGATATGTTTATTGTTATCTTCAGCCTAAATTTGGGCCTGATTATTTAAATACAGAGAAAAATGTCTTGATCACCTGGCTCCGAGCTCAAACCGTGCTCAGTTCAGGCCACGACAGGCCTGTCCCGGCCTCCGCACGGCTCCCCCACTGATCTGAGACAGGGGACGACGTGTGCCAAGAACTCTCTCTGGTGAGGTCGTCAGTCTTACGCCGAAACCGCAGGCGCGCGCCAGGCAGATCAATAATCCCCATCAGGCTTCACCACAAGTCACTCAAACCTCCAAGGGCAGGCGAGCGGAGGAGGGCTGGGGGACCTGCTGAGAATCTGATACTCTCTGAGATGCTCTCTGTCTCAGAGTGGAAGAGACGAGGACTCGTCCTCCGCGGCTCTGTCTCTCCTTTAAACCTGATCTCCTGTTATGACATGGTTCCCGTGCTCTGATTAGACGCTTCCTCCTCTGGCCTGTTGGCCCTCAGCTCTCACCCTCCGAACGGGTTGATGTTGATGTCACATGTCAGTCTTTATCCAGCTGTAGGATTCACAGCAGTTAGTGAGTGGAAGGAGGATTTTAGTGGCTGAGGAGAGTTGAATTTCTGCTCATTTTTTTGTATGACACAAGAAAAATATGATGGCATCATTTTAAAATGAAAATATAAAGCAGTAATAGTAAATGTACCATTTATAAAAGCATTAATTTTTCAGAAAAACAGAGGAGAAGATCTGTGACTTGTGAAAAGGGAATACATGAGAGGCATATGTGCGTGATCATGAAGTGAAGAAGAGGAACCGTGTGAGATAACAAAAGAAATGAAGCCCTCTCCTCCACTGATGCTGCTAAATGACACGGTTTCTACTGACGCACAAGAACAGGAGAGGAGAAAAGCAAACTTCACCTCAGGCTGAAACACGTGTGTCCGTCTCCTGGGTACAATATCTACGGTGAGCAGCAGCTGAATTTGACTTGTTCTTGCAAGGGGCATTGAGGTCTACATGGCAGTATTTCTTAAAACTATGGGTCTGGCCCTTAATTGGATCACAGGCCTGTTTCTGGTAGGTCCTCACACGTCAAACACACCAGTTTGTTTTAATCAGCTCGGGTCTCGTAGCAAGACTCAATTTACACAATTTATGCCTGAGCTGAAAAGGTTTACTAAACCTGGCTATAAAAGTGCTCTGTGTGTGAGTCCCTGTCAGCCTATACGAACTCCCTGTGCTACGGTGGCCGAGCCAAGGCCAGCGACTGGTAGATCCACTGGGAGCGTAATAACAGATTAATGTGGCGTGCCAGGCCCCATGACCAGACGTGTTTGACGTTAATGCTCCACTGTATATTATCCAGCTTGCAGAAATGTTGGATGTGAGCGATGGGATCCAAGGACAGGGATGTTTAGGTACTAATTACCAAACAGCAAGGCACAAGTCTCGCTCCATATTTCCTTACTCCTGTGGAAACACTAGGCAGGCTCCATTTATTTTCTTTGACTGTTGTTTCTGGCAAGGCTGCGTCTCAGTAAACACCACTCGCCCACCATTGTAAATCCGACAGGCGCAGATCTTTCAAGTTAGACTCCTTTGAGGAAAAATGGAGACAGATCGGATGGCGGTGCTCGGGTTTTCCGTCTTAATGAGAGAGTGGAGAAGAGGGATGGCGTTTGATCCCTGGCATGGAAGCCTCTATTTAAGCCTGTCAACGGTCATCACTCTCTCTCTCTCTCCCTCTCTCTCCTTCTTTCTCTCTCTCCCTCTTGGTTATGGATGGAGAAACAGACCTGCACCACTGGATTTGATCATCTCAGTCAGACACACTTAACCCCTTTTTCAGGACTTCAGGACCAGGATCCAGGCTTCACCAGCACCTTTGCTATCACCGAGACAGACCGCTCACCCCTCCCTCCCTCCAATGACAACCTATAAGTATCAGTGTTGATTGATCACCTAGCTGGAAAAGAAAAGAAAAGGCAGAAGCAGATCTGTGAAAATATTATTTTATTTGTAGAGCTTTGCAACGAGCAAGCCTCTCAGTCATCATGCTCCAATTTCATATCATATGTTTGTCCAAACCACACAAGAGCCTTATGGTTCTTCAAGGAAGTCTCGCTATAGTTGCAGCCTGACACCAAGCCAAAGACGATAAGCCCCAAGACAAATTTCCATCCTCCTCTGCGTGGACAATGAAACTTTTGAACTTGAACTTTTAGGCTGTGGAGGTTGATAGACTCCTCAGAGCGGAGGAAATGTCTCTTTGATGAAGAGCTGGAGGGCAGGGCTCCTGACCATTGTGGACCTGGCCTGGAAGACGCTTTTCATCGCAGCACTAATGGCTCAAGCTAATCAGGCCTGATTGGGTCTGCTAAATAAATACTCTCTCCATTCATAATATCATCTGTAACTTAAGACAAAATCAATACCTAGACTGAACACTAATAGCTGGAGGCAAAACAAATGTCTAAGCTCTGGCTGCAATACATTTTTCTGAATGAGTCCATCAGTGACATTGGCGTGGACTTTCGATACTTCCAGACAAAGGCACGTAGTCGAGGATTTTTCATATCTCAAAAAGAGGCTCTATATCAGATTGAAAACAGATTCATGCATGCAAACAATTCAGAAACAGGAGTTGTTCTAAGCTATAGATGCCCTCATTCGCTAATTTTTGTTCTTTTGAACTAATGTCACCGCGCGTATCATCTCATTTTTAAAATCAACCTTTCTTAAAATCAACCTTCCAGAAGCAGGAGTGAATTTTTTTTTAAGGTAAGGAAACAAAACAACTACAGCAACACCTACAGGAATGAATGAAAATCAGAACAAATGTGCAGATTAAACAGTTATATTCAGCAAAACAATTAAGAGCATCAATCACAGATGAAGCAAGGCGTCTCCCCCCAGGAGCCAGAGCTTGATAATAAACACCGGAGTCAGACTCGACTTCTGTAGGCTTAGGAATAAATAAAGTGAACAACCCTGACATCAGCAGCTAGTAAAATGTTTGGCTGTGTGGACCGGTGGAGTATGTATGAAAGAGAGCTTTGTGTTATGAGAAATGAATACAGACAGACACAATCACGTTTGAGTGAAAAGGGTTGGGACAGAAGTTTCACAGCAGCAGAGTTTGAATCTGGTTTCAAACTTGTGACTTGAGCATACCACGTTTGATTTATATTTTGCTCCACTTCTGTTCTGTTAGTCTCTATTTCTGTAATTACAATACCATATACACTATGTACTGAATCTCTGACATCCATCACATCTGGAGCTGTAAAGCAGTGTAAGCCATCCTACGATAGAGACGTCTGCAACATCTGATCTGTTTGCTACAACAGACAGAAATCGCAGGCTCTTAGAGAAATGTCACCAAAGAAGACTCTAAAGATCAGTCACATGGAAGTTTGAAAGTGATGTTTTTTTGTGTGTTGTGCTGCTAGTTTATTTTGCTTGAGCTTGTGTTGGCGAGTTTACTTGGCCAGTCTCCTCGCCACATCTTTGTAGGCGGTCTCGATCTCAGAGTCAGCAGCGCAGGTGTTGGTGAATTCATCACGTGTGTAGGCGTTGTTCAAATACCGCCACACACCTGTCATGTCTGAGGGGATGTCGTAGTTACGGTACTTCTTAGCAACAACCTACAGTATGAGAGGAGAGGAGGTGAAACTGTAACTTCAGTGTTAACTAAAGACACGCTTGATTAATAATGGTCGACATTTAAAATCCACACTTGGGTGTTCTAACAGTCAACCTGCATCATTAAGTTGTTATGTTCAGTGCACTCCATTTGTTTCCTGCTTTCAGTCGACTGGATTCATTTGCTGCTTTTTCAGTTAATAAATGTGAGAATAAATGACTTTAAACAGCCTCCTGGGTGTTTGCTGTGCTGTGCAAGTAAGTGAGTGTTGGCAATAGCATGGTGATTTTTTCAGAGAAAAGGAGAGAAAGAGAAAAATGCTGTAATTTGCTACACTTACTCAAATTAATTCAAATTATTAAAAAAAAACAAAAAAACAACAATAGTAAAAGTGTACAGTCATGCTAGCAGTTCTGTGAGGCTGTACTGCAGAGCGCTGGTTTAAGCTAAATGCTCACATCAACTAATATGTCAATGCTAAAATACTGATGTTTAGCAGGCATAATGTTTACACCATATTAGTTTAGTGTGTTAGCATGCTAACATTTGCTAGCAGTAAAGCTGAGGCTACAGGTGTTTGGTCCAAAGTGTTGGACAACTTGGGTATTTAGTATTTCCTGTGTTTTGGTAATCAGGAGTCATTATTTAAATGATGGATTTCACCTCAAACATGGGGACATAACATAACATCCAATATAATTCCAATACTCTTTTTCTTTACGCTTTAAATCTTTTTCTTATCAGCCAGTTAACAATTAAATGTATTTTCCTCAGACACACTCCTTCTTTACCTTGACTATGTGCAGTTTAGGCAGCAGGTTGCAGTCTGCGAGAGTAAGCTCGTTCCCATCCAGGAAGCACCGGTTGGAGCCCTTCTCCTCCTCCATGCTGTCTGCATCAATCTCATCTGGCAAGGGGCTGTTCAGGTAGTCATCCAGCTTCTTCAGGGTCTTGGTCAAACCCTTCTCCAGGACTAAACACACAGAAACACGCATGGGCACATAATGCTGACAGTGACATAACCTGTGTAGGGATAATCTCACTAGGTGGCAGCACAGCAAACACTGTGGGTTACAAAGAGTGGACTCTGCTACAACCTAGTGGAGAAAAAAAGTAATGGCTGTCATGTATTTCTTTTTTTTTTTTTCATCTTGTTGTGTGTGTGTGTGTGTGTGTGTGTGTGTGTGTGTGTGTGTGTGTGTGTGTGTGTGTGTGTCTGTGAGTGTAAATGGCAGAGAATGAGCAGCCCACCAGCATTGGCCTCCAGTTTGGTGTTCTTGATGTAGGCTGAGAACTTGGCGAAGATGTCATTTCCAGCTGTGTTGGACTCTCTCTGCTTGGCGGCCAGTTTAGGATACCTAAGCAGACGGGGTGGACAGAGGCAGGAGACGCAGTCAGAGACGCAGTCAGACCGAACCATCTGGATAGCATTAACACCTGGACTGGAGCTCAGCTCAGACTGAAAACATGTTACACACTCAAACCGAGTTGGCCGCCCGCCCCTTAAGTTCTCTCACACTGAGGTCCATTTATAATGTAAAAAACTTTACAGCCAATAAAAGAAAGATTTAGTTAATCTGACATTTTACTCTGCAACTGCTCACTCACTGGCTCCGACTTTTTTTTTTTTTCAATAACAACAAAACACAATAAACCTTCCTAAAATTACACAAAAGCTGCGGCTGTTGTCAATGAAGAACTTATATTTGGATTGTTTTTATGTTATTTTTTTCAGGAATTGAATGGCGAAACCTCCCTGAGACACACACACACACACACTCATCCACCAAAGATTTACAACAGCCATAAACAATAAACACTTATATCAGTTAACATCAGTCTTCATCACACACAGCCATCTTTTACTAGACTCAAGCGTTTCCTGTCCTTTCAACGGTGTTGCTGAAATGAAATAAATCAACTAAATGCAGCATGTGTGTGTGTGTGTGTGTGTGTGTGTGTGTGTGTGTGTGTGTGTGTGTGTGTGTGTGTACTCAGTAACATAATCTGATACTGTAAACTATGTGTTATAAAACTGTCCAGTGGAATTACTTTGGAGGAGAGAGCATTTCCTCAAGGAACTCCTCGATCTTGTTGATATCGGTCTTGACCTCTCCGTTGAAGGTCAGAAAAGGAGGGTGTGTCCCCGGGGCCAGGTTGTGCAGATCCGCCGGCTTTCTACAGAGCACAGAGTGAAAGAAGTATGTCAAGAGGAAGCTGTGAGTGTGTTTTTGTGTTCAGAGTTTCTATCTCCACGTCCTAACCTCTTCAGGTCGACAGTGGTGACGTTGAACACGACTCCTTTGAGCCAGAGGATCATGAAGAGACGCTGAGAGAAGGGACAGTTTCCAATGCTTTCTCCATCGCTGCCCGCCTGCACACAAACACAACATAACAGGAAATAAGTCAGGGCACATAGTGGAAATGTGGTGTATACATGCAAACTCACACATATGCAGTGAGTGTAGTGCAGTTCACGGTATAATGTAATCCAATCCCACAACAGAAACAATAGGGTATGGAAAGTATTCAGAGTTGAATCAAGAAAAACCTGACATGGTCATAATAAAGCTGAACACAGATCTTACAAATGTACACAAGTATTTTCATTCTAAGTAAATAAAGAATTTTCTGTAATTGTTGTTTTTATGAAAACTTCAATCTATGACTGTGACACTTTGGTCGCAAGGTTGAAACCTTGCCTGTGACAATTAAACACACTATACTATGACTTTTGATGCCTTACGGCTTTATGCCTCTCTACACTAGGATGTTTTTTTACTTTTTTTTTGCCTGACTAAAATATGACATTTTATGCCTCACTATACTGTGATGTTTTATGATGTTTTTATGCCTTACTATACTATGACATTTTTATGACATTTTTATGCCTTACTATACTATGACATTTTTATGATGTTTTATTCCTTACTATAATGACATTATATTTAATATAATATAATGTGTTTATCCCTTACTATACTATGATGTTTTTATGCCTCACTGTACTATGGCATTTTTTTTAATGTTTTTATGCCTTAATATACTATGATCCTTTTTTGTCTTACTATAATATGACGTATTTTTGCATTATTATACTATGACTTTTTTATGCCTCACTATACAATGATTTATTTGTGCGGCAGCACTATGGAGTAGTGGCTAGAACTTTCGCCTCACAGTCAGAAGGTTCTAGGCTTGACCCCAGGCCTAGGGCCTTTCTGTGTGGAGTTTGCATGTTCTCCCTGTGCCTGTGTGGGTTCTTTCGGGTACTCTAGTTTCTTCCTGCAGTCCAAAGACATGCACATTAGGTTAATTGGCAACTCTAATGCTTTACTATAATATGACTTTTTATGGCTTAGTATACTATGATGTTTTATTCCTTAATATACTACGACTAATGACATACTGTATATATGACATATATGTCAATATATCAAGAGTGATTTTACCATATGTGTCACCTATAAGAGGATATGTAATTATCACATGTATATACCCTCTGGATATATGAAGATATAAGTTTATAACATATATGACACAACCATAATAAAATCCAACTTCATTAAAACAACATACTTATTAAAATTCTATATGTTTTGTATGATTTTGTTTGATAATTTTATAATTTCTCATCAAATTTAAACATACATGTCAATCTTTTACATTTGCATATATCATATGAACATATAGTGACAGGCTTTGGGATGGATATATATCTATGTAACATATGTTTATCATATAAACATACATACTAAACCTACATGTTTCCATCAACTAGACATACTGTCAATATATGATATTGTTCCAATTTCAAACAGGTTCCATATGTCATTTTTACATATATAGTCTATACTGTATATACATACATGATTTTATTTCCTATGTACATATATTTCGTATATGGAAATTCAGTACATCTACATATATTACATTTGCTTATGGGCATTTCTGAATGTAAATTAAGATCCTATATATTAATAAAACATTTGGTTGACAGCGTTAAAAAGTCAGTTTCTTTGTTTTGGAGGGGTTATGGGGTTGTTGCATCCCTACCAATGTTGAGACCAAATCTACGCCCTTAAAACACGTTAGGATTATTAGGTGACTGTTACCATGACTGCTGACTGTTAAGAGAAGTCTCATAGGTCGTATAAATATAAACACTGCGCAAACACATAAATTCATCACCCTTAAAACATTGTTACAGATTTATGATAAAGACAGAGTCAAACCAAAACTACATTCTGGGAATCTGACCACATGCTCTAATCTATTAGTAAAAGTATTCAGACACTTCACTTAAGTAAGAGTAGTTATACTGCAGTATAAAAATACTCCATTACAAGTAAGCAAAGGCATATAAGCAAGTTATCAGCAAAATGTTCTTAAAGTATAAGAAAGTAAAGTAAAAGTACAGACTAGGCAGAAAAATGGCTTCTGTGAATTTTATACTACTATTTATTATATGATAGAATTTTCACTAATGATGCATTTTTCTATCGTTGTTGGTCAAGATGGAGCTGATCTACATTACATTACACCTGAAATATTGACTCTCTTCCTCCCTTCAAATCCCATTTCAAAATACACCTCTTCAAACTTGCCTATTCTGTTTGACTCCAGCGCTAGTGTTCAACACAAACATATTTAGTCTAACTTAATTTGTGTTTAATGCCTTGTTGGATACTGTCTGTTGCTACTATATATGTGATTTGTGTTGTAAGATGTCCTTGAATGCCTTGAAAGGTGCCTATAAATAAAATGTATTATTATTATTATTATTATTAATGTGAACTATTGCATATACTGTTGAAGTACATGAAGTTTAATCTATAATAATGTATCATATCTTAAAAGAGTATCATATGTCTTGTATGTAAAATCTCATTAAAGCTGTGAAATGAATGTAGTGGAATAAAATATATCATATAATGATGATAATGATAATAGCATTAAATGGAGATACACAGGTAAAATACACGTAACTCAAATACTACTTGTAATTAAATGTACCTAGTTACAGTCCACTACTGCTTACACTAAACAATGTCCATAAAGATCTGGCCATAATGAAGCATCATAGTCTTGCCCTCAGGTAAAAGCCTTTGACCAAAAACAAAACATAATTTTTTTGCCTAACAGCAATGTGTCTATCCAAATGGTGTTGAAATAAGTTCATCAACTGCTCCAGCATTTAAAATCTTACATACAAGGTCAACTGAGGGTAGAACATGAAAATAAACAAGTTATTTTTTCCTCTGACACTTCCTTTCAGTCATATAGCTGTTTTCAAGTGATGATATCGTGTGTCGGCATGTATGGATACACAGTGGAGCACCAACACTGACATCTGATCCTCTGGCTCAGCTGAATTATAGATAGTGACTCCATCACCTGGTTCACTGGCCGCTGGGGCACAGAGTGCAGGTCAGAGCTGTTGGCCTGCAGTCACAACACTTGGCAAAATAAGAGCACTGACCTGGAGGTCAGCAGGGTGAGCACAGATTTGACAAGTGGAGATATTCTCCCTCATTAATGCATTAATGATTTGGAAATGAAACTCTTTAAATAACTTGAGAAACCAGCAGATGAGCTTCAATATGTCCAATTTAATTATTACTATCATTAAAGCAGGGTCTTCAGATGGCTAATATCAGTTCACAATAAAAGATAGGACAATGAAGTGGAAAAACATTTTTGCCATTCAGTGCACAGCTCCCAGCAAACACCAGAAAACAGAGCTGTCAGTCTAAAAGTAGCTGAGCCAACTGTATGCGCGCCAGCCATTGATGCTCTCAGTGCTGTCATGCTGCATGTGATGCTTCGGTCTGTGCATTGTTATGGCTGGGCTCAGCAGCACGGCCGTAACACAATACACAGTCGCTGATAATAGCCAATCAACATCTAGAACATGGGGGACAAAAGCTGTCACACACAACCGGGTGCTGTGAGTGTGTGGAGCCACTGAGTGATGATGAGAGGGGTCCACTGAAGGCAATGTTACTTCACACCATCCATCACATATATATATATATATATATATACATGTATACTAAAATATATTATATATATATATTACGTCCCTTGCATTTGTCTGTGATTAATCAGTACTGCAATATTTGACCATTAACTCTTTTTTTTTCGAAAGTACTTTATTCGCCCAATGTTTTCTTAAAAAACCTGCACTTTTCAGCAGCCTTGATGAAGACTGTAGGCAAAATGTCAAGTGTATAAATGAAAATTTGATGAACACATAAGTTATTTTGAATTATGCTTCCATAAAGTTATAGAACTCAAAACATAAAAAAAAGAATGGTCGAAACTGTTGCAGCAGAGGCCGAAATATCCCGACGTTTCCTCTTCCATCTATTGGTCAAGACTCAAAAATGCTGCACCCTACACTTCCCATAATGCAACCAATTGCTTTTTTTTTAAATTGGTGTCCCACTGCTAGGGTGCATAGTATTTTTCATTTAATTGTGATGTGTAAAATCGCTGTAGTACCCCATTACTGACTGTACCATGTGAAGACTTGCTACTCAAGGAGGTTTATGTCTCAGTCCTGAGATTCATCATGGGGGCACTGGTGTGAAGTGTTACAGCCTGTGATAACGCTGCTGCATGCTTTCCTATGTACAGATACTCTCTCCTTCAAATAAAAGAGCTAAGATTTAACTGTGCAGTCAACGGAATGCTACAATAGCCTAGATAGTATATTGTGTAATGACATGTTGAATAGATAGTGCTGTGAAAGTCTAACTGTTACACAGGATGTGCAGCTATGCAGGATAATTCTCTGTCCATCTAGGTCACATTTCAGATGGCAGCAGGAGGGAAAAAAGTCATTTCAGGGTTGCAGCTACTTTGGAAACCACTCTATATAAACGGCTTGTCCTGCTCTGTATTTAGTAACACAGTTTACGCAAAGCCAATCGTGAGTTTGCTTTCATTAAGAATAACATCTAATGAAAGAGTGACAGCGAGGCTAAAGGGTTGATGCAAGCCGAGCATGTTGTCAGTGTCTGTGAACTTTTAGTTACCCAGCTGACTGGTTTCCTAGGAGGTGGACTGGCTGAAAGGAGCCTTCACACCAGCTAATTGGGTCATTGCATCCATGCACCACATCAGCTTTTCCACCTGCTTCCACTTCACCTGCCTCAGGTATATTCACCTGCCTCTAACATTTCTCTGGGGGCCCGGAGTTCATCTAGTTATGAAGAACAAAACAACTGTGCTGTATCTGCAGAAGGTGATGCTTCCAGACTGGTTTTTCCGCTCTATTTCAGGTGATAATTTATAGATCAGCGAATACCTGTGCAGAAATAACGCCAGGAGATTTTCCAAGAGCATTAGCACACCGTGCAATGTAAAATTCTAAAAACATCTTAGTCCATTACATGATGCAATACTTCTTGTAAAAAAGTTTCACTGGGGTAGCGGTACCACAGCTTCCCACCGTCAACAAGCAGCTTCGGTATCACTGTCACAACAATCCTGGGTCAACATGGAGCAGAGTGTGCCGGTGCCGCTGTAACTTTACCTGTACTATTGAGTTACATGAGCTTTCCACAACATACAGTGATGCTACAGAGAAACTTCTCCTCATGTACTGCTTCTATCTTCCATCAAAAACTTAAGAAAATACTGCAATCATAGTTCTGTCTCTGTCTTACCTTGACAAACAGTTCGATATCAGGATCTCTGTCTTGACCGTTTGTGGACATGATGCCTAATTCTGGCTGTCACCTTTTTTCTTTAGTATTTTAGTACGTTTTTTTTTTTTTTTTTTATCTACAGTCCTTTGCTTATCCTTGGAGGTCTACATCCTCCAGAAAAGAAAGAAAAAACACAGATATTCTCTCTGAGTGATCCTCTCTTGTGACTCCTCACAACTAAAGAAGCTGGCTTGGTTCTGTTTCCTCCAGGTTTCTAAGATTTCCACCACTTTTCTTCTCCTGTAAAGGTTTTTCCTCCCTTGTTTCTGTCCTGCAGGTGAGGCTGAGAGTCGGTCCAGGTGGCAGGTAGAGCCCTGTGCTCTGATTTAGACACAGATGGAGAGCAGAGCTAGCTCTCACTGACACAGAAGGGAAAACAGGTGTCCGTCTATACCAGGGGGTGGAGCCCCATCTCTCTCTTCCCACCACTCCAACCACACTCCCCTTGAACACACTCACTACCACTACTTACTCTCTTACCAGCCCCCTTTTTTCCCCATTTTGATCAACTCACACTTTTATTTTTCATTATTTTCCATCACTACATGTGGTTTATTTGCTTCTCTTTTTCAGGTCAGGTTGAAGAAACCTTTCCTTGAACATGACACACATGTCAAAAATATCACCACATCCCATAACATTGCCCAAAAAGTGAGATGATATTTATGTCACCTCTTGTTTCTGCGGTTGTCTCTCCATCTTTATATGAGCGCGTGAGCAGCATCATTCATATTTAATGTGCGTTCACACGTAGGACAGGATGGCGCAGGTTATATTTGATCACCAGCAGGAGACCTGGAGAACACTCATCTTTGAATTATTGATACTTGGCGTTGGTTTTAAGGCAGGAATTGGCATTCATTTACAGAAAGGGCCTATATAGGGCAACAAAAATAAAAGCAGGTCTGACCGCAAATATCTTCACACATCAGCACATGGTGAAGAAAATGAGTGACACTCTCTCTTTGGCTTACTCTGTCTGACAGATGTATCCAAGAAAAAAACATCTGTCAGAGAGAAAGTTAGATGAAAGCAGAAAGAGAAAGAAAGATGGGGTAAAGAGCTAATTTTTTCAACTGTTTCTATTTATAGAGCAGCCCCCTCTCCTGGCAGACAGTCCCACATGCAGCACAAAGCAGTTACTGGGCCACTGTGGGAGGAAGAGTTCATTATCCATGTTTATGAGGGACAATGTTTCTCAACGTGTTATTTTAGGTTTTCGGGTGAGAAGGAGTTTAATTGTATAGGCATAATCAAAGTCTCAACGGGCAGCACGCTCATGATGAAAACAACATGCGATAATGAGCCTGAAGTCTTTTCAGATTTAGATCTCATTCCACAGTCTTTCGGCTACTAAATATGGCATCAATAAACAGAAAACCTCATATAATATGAGTATAATTGCATTTCATTGCGTTTGAAAAAATTAAAATTTGCAGGGACTTCTTCTGCTGCAGCACAGAGAAGATACTGAATTTAGCTGATTTTATGATCTTTTACAAACATTATAAAAACGTCATAAAAATGTTAATGGTTTAGAGTTGCTTTTTTCTCCTCTTGAGACAAAGGGAAGCTCAAATTACTGACTTGTTGGGCTAATCATTCACCCGGACATCAAACAGTAACAAGACATTTTCTATCTTTCCGGAGCCAGTGGTGTACGGAGGGAGTGTTTGAACTCTCCTCTTGTAATGGCACACTCTTCCTAAATGTGAAAGCCAAACAGGCTTGTCCATACATGCATTGACTTGTGTTTTCAATTGTGAGATGAACCATCAGTGACATTATGTACACGATTATGCGGCCATCCTCACTTTGACAGCGACAACTTGAGCATCTTGTACAGTGGTAATGGTGTGATCTACAGAGTTTGTTATCATACTTTATAAGATTAAAACAGATTGTCCACAGTGAAAATGTCTCTTAGTGATAGTACTGATGGTGTGTTCTGTAATAGCCGGCTTTATCAAAGAGAGCTGGGGAGGAGTCACATAAACTTCCAGTACAGACGGATGATCTTCCAAGTCTCCTCCCTACTTTTATAGCACAGCTCGGTTTGGTTTATGGCAACTGCTGAAGATTAGACTGTTGGGAAATCCACCCACGGCTTGGACTCGCTCAGATAGGGAGGCCAGATAGAGTAGAGGACAGTGTGGTATGCGGAGTAGGGGCCAAGTATGTTGTCACTTCTCTGGTGAGCTATGGTTTGTGTTTATCACAATTGTGATGCAACAACATCAAGATAGCGTATCTGCCGCATGTGGCAAAAATGTCCTTTTAATGTTAATGTGCTGTAATTCCCCAGAGGAATGAAGTTTCTGTATGACCTGATAAAATTAGTTTTTTCTAAGAATTTTCCCTTGGTAAAATCAGAACAATGGACATTCAGTATGTTGTTCTTAGGATAATCCATCAAATGAAACTTCTTTGGAAGAAATAATTTTTGAATTTGGCAAAGCTAAAGGATAATACTCTTTCTGGACTTCACCCCAGTCCCTGTCACAATTAGAGGAGTGAGTTTTGATTATTTTCAGAAATCATCATCCAGGCCAGATTGTAGCAATTATTTTTTGTTTGTTTACAACTCATCTGTGTTGATTGAATACACCCATTCTATCTAACCATAGCCTGGCAGGGCAATTTTAAAATTCAGCATAAACCCACTACTGTCATTCCCTATTACAAGGGCTGTAGTGAGCTCAAACAGAGCTCCTTGAGTCCGGCCCAGTGACTCTCAATCTGTGTTGCCCAATCAGCAAAGTGACCCCTGCGTGTGCTGATAGTACACTTCACAGACCAGCTCTATCAGAAATGCAGCAAAACACACAGTCAGATTTGCTCAGCCGTGGAGTTCACCCCTGGTTTCTATGGCCCTGCAGGAAACGAGTTAATTATTACATCAGACTGCCAACATATTAAAGTCACTGACACTGACAGAGATCGCTGCTTCTGTCTTTGTTACTGAAATCAATTGTTTTGTTGTAGATATTTATGAATATACAATTTTCATATTTTTTTATATGGCCAACAAAAAAATAAATCCAGCAAGTCCCATTTCTTGATTGCGCACATTTACATAACAAATTAAATTTATTCAGATTTGGGTCTATTATTCAGTGATGGGAGTGCTTCAGATTATTTTTATAAGATTATTATTATATCATGACTTTGGAGGCTAATGTGTGTAGGTTTTTGACTTTCATATGCAATTATATACCAGGTAACACAACACTGTTCTACAGTGGAAATCAAGGACAGTTCTATATGCACAGGAGAAAAGAATATGAGCCTGTTTTATTGTCATATTCACTGCTCATTAGCCTGCAATATGACAATTACTGACTGGCTGCAATCAATAAATCAATAAAATGTTTTGCTCTGTCTCCAAATGCAGAATATGCCAGCTGGTTTAAGGCTACATCTGTTTAAGCTTTTAAAAGTTTACACCCTGCAGTGTTGTTGTTCCATCAAGAGCAACCAACACTATAACACCAAAGAAACATGACAACTGTGCTAGAGAATAAAATACATAAATAAATAAATTTAAAAAACTGTACTGTTCCCCAGTACAGCAGAGAATACACAGAATTGCTTCAAGGAGCTTTTTGGCAAATCTGGCGTATATTGGTGCCCGGCCTCCCTGCAGCTGTCCTCAGCTGTCCTAATGCTGAACATTGAGGCTGAGGCAAACTGAGGCTTGACCTGGGTCACCCCAGCAGGGACTCCCCCATCTTGTATCTGTGCCTTACCTTGACGAACAGAGAGATTTCAGGCTGGCTGGGGTCAGCCGGGGCAGCGCTGCTCTCATCCAGAGTGACGTTCTCCAGAGTTTTCAGGCTGTAGTCGACAGACTCCTCCGGCTTGGGGTCAGTGTTGAAGTGGGTGTACGCCATCAGCATCCCGTCCTCGGCGTTATCCTCTTCCAGAAACCTCGGCTGGACCGGCGGGTCGTCGCACGGGTCTCCATTGGAGGCGGAAGATGCTGAGGAGGCCGATGAGCGCCTGGATCCGTCGTGCGCCTCGCCGTTCACCTGCTCTACCTTCAACTCCGCCACAGGCTCCGGCTCCGGCTCCACCACCGCCGCTACTTTGTGCTCTACCTCCTTCTCTTTAACCTCATCGTCGTCGCTGGATGAAGGGGACGAGCAGCTGTGTCTGTCCTCCCTGATTTCCATATAGTCCGGCGAGCCGCGCTCTTCTCCCGCGGAGGCGTGGACATGCACCTCGCTGTACAGCTGCTCCCTCGCCTCGCCTGAGCTCTCACATCTGGGCTCCCGGTCGGGGCTGTCGGCTCCATCACGGCGCTCTACATGCAGATTCCCCTCATCTATTGTTTCATAGATGTTGTCCATGATTGCTGGTTTCGTTTTGCTGCTGTTGTTTTTTTTTAAAGAGCTGAAGTTTAAGGTGGAAGAGAAGAGCTGGAGGGATCAAAGTAGTGACACAGTCCGCCTGCCTCTGACTGACTGAGCGCCTGAGCAAATTCCAGCGATAACTTATAAAAGACCTTTGATCCTCCAAGTTAAAAACAGATTCATGCTGAAGGTGAGGACTATGCCTTCAAGGACATTTACCTGGGAGGAGACGTCAGGTAAAGTGTGATACCTTGAAAACGCACAGAGCAGATACAGACTTCATAAAAGTTATATTTCATTTAACCTATAACATATTCTTCATTTAATCACAACCTTACTCCAAGTAAGTTTCTTGTTTTATAAAAAAATCCCAATTTAAGATTTTAAGTTATAGGTCAAGGTCACTTTTTTTGAAGCAAGAAATTGGCTTGGTTTGTTCTTACAACTTCAAATTTTACTTTAAATGTTAATAATAATCCACATTTCTAAGCGACTGTCCGAAAACTATGGGGGGGGGGGGGTCTGAAAATGATCATTCTATTCACATACTAAGGCTTAAATTGGAGATTATTTCTGATTTGCCTTATTTTAATTACTAATAGTGAAATGAGTTGTACCAGTCCAGTTTTGAAGAGTGGGGTGAGGGTGTTGCAGTTTTTTTGTCAATCAGAGAGACGAGTCAAAGAGGAGAAACAGTCCCCAAGTCCTAACAACATTCAGAAAATCAACCCGTTCAGTTTCACATAAGTCCCTTTATTTTCAGAAGACTCTTTAATTGCATCAACATGGCAAAGATAGTTAATCTGTAAATCATATTAAATATCCATATTTCAAATCCAAGGTAATAATCAACTGAGAGAAATCTGATCTAATATTTATTCTTTTTCTAACAATTTCAAATGAATTATTTAAATATAGTTTGGATATTTCTTAATTTCTCTGTCAAGTCAGGGGAAAAATTATCAGACAACACTTTTCTTTCATAAAACAAGACAATTTTCAGAAAATTAACAATTTCCATATAAATGCTTTCAATTTATGAATTTAAATTTTGTAAAAAGTAAATACTCACAGTGATGTCTGTCATTTTTTGGGCACAGGTATAAGTCAATGCATCTAAAAGCATACTAAGAAAACTGAACCAATTCTTTCTTAAAAGATGCTGAAAAAATATTAGAATAATTTACTGGCAGATTTGGATTTCTACTTGACTTTCTATAATTATGCTAATCAAAAAGCTTTTTGGCAAGAGGCACCTAACTTTTTTTTTTTTATCATTTCAAATAGCAACTACGAACAGGAAGTGCAAATTATACATGACCAAAAAAGCATCCAACTACTGCCCCTTCGTTCTGTTTCGTTTCTATCCTGTAGTGCAAATCAGGGGAACAGTTCTTGCAAGTCATGCCGAAATAGTCTTCTCAACCACACAACAACAAAACCCTTAAATTCCCTACGACGAAATACTGACCAATAGCAATTGCACTTCACATTTCACCAACAAATGGCCATGGTTATGACGGGTCAACATGTGAAGAGGAGGGCAGTTCACAGCCATCTATACAGAAAAATGCCTTCCCAACACAAATGCTACAAAAAAAAAAAAAAAAAAAAAAAGATAGACCAACTTACACACTAACAATTGCACACCTTAGAGAGATGTTCTCTGTTAAGTTAAAAGGCAAATGGTAACTGACTACTGAAGAGCAAGGTCGTGATGTGATTGGCTCATGGAATGACCTACACACATGAGCAGAAGCCTGGCACATTGAGTGAGTCTTTAGTGGAACATTTGCTTCCAAGTAACATTCAAAAAGTAACACCGAGCTCAGTCGATCTCCTCAAAGTAGTTGAGTTTTGAATACTTCAGCTTAATCACAGCATTTTTATATCGTAAAGTAACTTCTAATTCAGTGCTCAGACCTCAAGTAGAGCAGTTGGTGGCAAAAAAGAATCCGACAAGGCCTTGATCCGTCTTAAGCTCACAAAATACAAATCTGCTTTGCATAGATTTGAAAATGTGGAAATAACCAAATCTACTGCCTGAAGTGAGGGTGCCAGTATGCTTCAAAAGAAGTGGGTTCTGCCGTGTCTGACAATTCCTGTAACTCTCCAAAACCAACAATCCCATAATCGCGCCCACTTCCCGCAGCCACTGGCCAGGTCACAAAAGATAGGCAGGATTTCAGCTTCTCTCTTCTTTTTTTTTTTGTCACACACTTTTCCTACGCACAAATGAGTGCAACACTATGAATGCCATCAGGGATAGATTGTCTAAAAGTGTGCGCACTTATCCCCATTTTTAAAAAGAAAAATTATTGCTTCCAACCTTTTCTACGATGGCGAGTTCTTCACCCTGCCTCTGGGTGTGGCTGTTCCTCACAGCTACAAACACTTTAACCTCCAGACAAATTCATTCTTCTTAAGTATACTGGCACCTTAATATTATCAAAGTCACAGTTTTGGCCACCAAAGGTTCATACTTGCGAGGATCACAGGTTAAAATTCTACACTTAGCTTTGAATTTTTTTTACTCTGTAAGTGACAATGAAAATGATGACATGATATTAGGTAAAATTCACAATCAAAGCAAAGCCACTATAACGCCCTATTATTATCTTGATTAAGCCTGCACCAGAAGTGAACCATACACATTTCCCTCACACTTGTGTAGAGGTGCATCTTGTCCTGCTCATGATGACCAGGTCAGATTAGATTCTCTTGATCTCCACCTAATGAAAGAGCAGCACAAAGGCGATTACTGGTGTAAGGGAGGCGTGCAGAGCGTGCTTCTGGACAGAGCGGACTACCTTGGGGAGCAATACCTCCTCTTCTTTTATATCTGCCATCCTTTCCGTTTCTTCCTACCTACAGGTGCAAGTCCTCTTGCAGTAAGGGCTGCGACATCTCCCTGCTTCTGTGTTTTAGTGAGGGCAGCTGTTTGAGCGTCACTTGTCCGACGTAGAACACCAGAAAGCTGAGCACCATGACCACGCTGATGAAAGAGCCCACGACGGGGGTGTAGGAGTACTCCTTGACCCTGGGAGGGGCGCTGGGCGTGGGTGCAGCTAGCTCTGGGAACAGCAGGTCCTGAACGTTTAAGAGGGAGCCGTTGTTTGGCAGAGGGCGGATGGACAGGATGTGGCACATGAGAGGGTAAAGATCGACAGAGCGCATGGAGGTTTTCACATAATTCTGGCGAAAGGCTGGCCCACGGGCCACGAACACAGGCTGCATGCTCCGTAAGGTGTTGTCGTAGCCGTGGTTTCCCACTGGAGAGAAAAAACAAGAAATACATTGACATAAGAAGGCACAATACTCTGATATTAATTATTCTTGCATTGTTAATCTGTAGCTCTCCAGTTTCCACATCCCATGAATCACAAGCAGCACTTTTTCCTCACAGATTTATGGGATCTAGTTGTGCTGCTCTCTGTCATGATTTACTCCCATCACCGTTTTGCCCCAGCTGACCGGTTACTGCTAAATCAATCACAGCAAGCAGAACTGATTAAATCAAAACACACAAGCACAAAGATCTTGGATAAAAGCTTAGACCGGCTAACTGCTGCTCCTAAAATTCATCAGTGCTTTTACCTTGCTGAAGGACTGACAAAATTGTCTTAGTGTGCTGTGAGTGAAATCAATACAGTTAATCAGTGCTGCCTGAGATGGCAGCATCAGTGGCTTTAACAACCATCCAATCAGGTACAACTTCTCAGACTCATCTAGCTTTGAAGGAACCCCATGGAGTCTTTGACCCGAAGTAACACTATGGAGGAATGTTTGTATCATATACATGCATGAAGATGCAAATGTGCAAGCATATAGGCGACACAACTGCCATGGTTTCTGGCAGATCGATGGTGGAGTTAAACCAATCTAGCAATACACCAGCAAAGCCAGTGAAGAAGAAGAAGACTGTTTGCAAGTAAACGCGGATGTAAACAATGCAGGATTCAAAATATTCAAACATTGGCTTTGAAAATGTTGCATGTCTATTGTTAGAGATACACAGTAAGTAACACAATAGAACTCCACTCCACAAAGCCACATTTAAGGTATCATCTGTTCAACAAAACTTCGCCACATTCACAGTACTGATGTGGGTAATTAATGAACACTGAGCAGAGGTATCACAAACTGTAAACAGACTGCGAGAACAACGCCTCGGTTTGTGGTTGGGTGGTGTAACGTGATCAAACACACTATAGTAATCATCACTGTTTCCTTTGGCCAGCTGCTGAAACAGCTGGACAGTACAAACAACTTCTCATCATACTACAGTCTCCCACCATGTTGTCGCTGAATACTGAGAGTCAGCAGGGTTTTCTTCCAGCCATCAGGTCATTTCACTGATTAACAGTCTTTCAACCAGAGAAGAAGAATTAGGCAGTAAAATTAGCTGCTGCAGTCTGCGGCTGCATTAAAAACTCTGCCCTCCGTCATACCTGCCTGATATGAAATGGATTAAGAAAAATAACCGCTCTCGGAGGCCGTACAAGAAGATTCATCCACACCCACTCACACATTTCTGCTGTTTCTAAGAGAAAACAAGTTATGGCTTTCTCTGTTAATTACAGCTGGTATAACATGAGCTAGCTCTGGTTCAATGACTGAAAAAAAAAAAAAAATCTTCTGTGCAGCTATTAATAGAGCAGATAGAAGCTGCTGTTTGAGACAACAACAGAAACCGTTTCATGTGTAAAGCTGCAAACCAGAATATTGTCTCAGCGCAGCTCTATAAGGTTTGAAAACGTACACATGAAGGGCCCGGTCCTGTTCTGCATGACGGTCCAGCCCTCCTTGGCCTCTACGATGATGGGCATGATCCTGACGTTGTGCTGATAATGGAAGTGGTTGGGAATTTCTTCCTTCTTGTACACCACCATGTTTGGGTTTGCATCCACCAGCTTACTATACACCTCGTCAAGCTTCCCTGGAAGAGATACACAGACACAAAAATGATATCTCAGGATGAGTAGCAAATAATCATTTGAGAAATCTTACCAATATTGATCTATAACTAAAGAAACGATTCTAGATTAAAAGGGCCATGTTCCTGAAATGTGCATACATTGTTGGGGAAAAGCAAAATAACCAAAAATTTGGTTAAACCTTTAACATTTTTATCAGAAAATGTGGCAAATACAAATCCAGCAGTGACAGCTGGTCAGCTTAGCTAGGAAGACACTGCACCCATCTGGTTCAATATAAATCTCACATCAATCACAAATCATTTTAATAACTATTATGCATCAGTTGGTGAGCTCTAGAGTCACGGGTGGTCAGATTTTGTTGTCCAAAGGTAACAAAATTGGCCTGTTTACCTGTGGCTCTGGCTTCATATTTATCCAACAGACATGAGAGTGGTATCATTCTTCTCATCTAACTCTCAGGGAAAAAAAGCAAATAAGTACATTTCCCAAAGTGTCACTATTGGATTGTAAAAGTGATACCTTCTTTGGGCAGTATTCCCACCACTGGACTCTTATCCACCCAGGTGTACAGGTCTCTGCTGACGTACTCGTCCAGTTCTATGATATTATCAGTGAAAAGCTGCGTCATCCCATGGTCACTGGTCACTATCAGGTTCACTTGCTCATACAGCCCGGCCTTCTTTAGCTCGTTAATGAGGAAGCCGAGCTTCTCATCAATCCCGGCAATGACTACGTCCATGAGGGAACTCTGAGGTCCCAGGTTGTGCCCGCTCTCATCGGGCTCCTCCCAGTACAGAACTCCAAAATCCACCGATTCCTCTTTAGGTGCGGAGAACCACTCAACAATCCGCTCCACTCTGGTTTCAAAGGAGACTGAGGCGTTGTACTGGAGGAACTGAGAGGGGAACATGCCATGGATCTTCACATCAGACCCGGGCCACATTGCAGCCCCGCTCCGCCCTCCAGCTTTCTGGATGGTCACCCAGAGAGGCACTGCCTCCTCCCACCACCGTGAATCATAAATACTGTCCGTCTCCATGGAGAAGGACCGGTTCAGAGCGGGGTCGTACATCTCATTGGCCACAATGCCGTGCGTCTCCGCGTACAGACCCGTCACCAAGCTGTAGTGGTTGGGGAAGGTTTTGGTGATGTAAGCGTTCTCCACCTGATCCACTGTCACCCCCTCGTCCATAAGGCTGTGGAAGTTAGGCGTCGGGACCCGGTCAACGTAGTCCCAGCGGAAGCCGTCGAAAGACACGAGCAGCAGCTTGGGCCGGTCCCTCACACTGTGGCTCCTGCTCCCAGGCTGGTTCAAGCGATGGAGGGAGACCAGAGGCAGCAGCAAGGCCCACAAGCAGACCAGAGGACTGCAGCCTCCTCGCAGCATGCAGCCCAGCATAGTGCAGTGAGTGATGACACAACCTAAAGACACACATAAACACTGCTAAGGCTGAGCAATTCACTACTCATCTGGAAATATAAACAATGTGACCAGAAGTATATGGACATGCCAACCCACATACTTTATGTACTTTTGTTCTAGGGATGTTTTTTAGATTTGGCTTTTACCCATTAGTTCCAGTGAAGGGAAATCACAATGCTGCAGCATACAGTGATAGATAACACAATAGTGTGCCTCTGATATGGCTGCAACCAACATTTTCATTTTAGATTAATCAGCTGATTATTTATTCATATTTTTGTCTTTGTCAGAAAATAGTAAAGGAAAAGAAAAGAAAATGAACTAATAATGTGTACTTAGAAAGGACTACTGGTTACAACATACTCCACACAAGATTTTGAGAAATTAATTAATAATTTAAGTCATCAATCAAGCAAACGTAATATAAAAAAATGACACATTTGCTGATCCCATCTTCTCAAATATGTTGCATTTTCAGTTTTGTATCATGGTTTTGCTGCTGAAGTCAAACTGCTCTTCTCAATTCTCTGACATTCTGTGGGTTAAATTATTAATCATTTCATCAGAAAACTAATTAAAACAGACTAATAATGAATATATCCATCATTTGCAGCTCTAGTGTGAATATGATGATCAAGCAAATAAGAACTTAGTTCAGAAATGTCAAATGTCCGGTTTTTAAGGCTCTATCATAGTACTAAGATACAATAAATCCCAGGTAATAACCACATCAGTATCCAGCTCTATATTACATACAGTTAAGACAGCTAACGTTACACTAAATAAACCATGCACAAGCACTGAAGACATTACAGGTCAGGAGAGCAATGATGTCACTGAAAATGTGGCAGACTGAAGATATAGTGACTGCAGTGCATCTGTATATAAGTGCGACTTCAGTACAAATTAAATAATGGCAGCCTTCCTTCTCCCAGTCACACGCTTTAAGAAGAAACAGGATTCTGTGCGGCAGAGCTAACAGCTAAAACAGCACGCAGCTCTTCCTGCAACAATGAGACAAACACACACAGCTGAAGCGACATCAAGGCGGAAAAATAACGCACAAATTCAACACGCAGAGTGCTGCGCTGTCAACAAGCTTACCTCGTTATCTGATCCTGCACCGGCTCGCCTCGCGCTGCACACCGAGATAAACAGAAGGAAGCGCGGCCTGTTTATTAACCCCGTGTGTTTTCACCTCTCTGTCGCTTTTATTTACTGACACGAAACCAAACCAGACCATACGAAGTCGAAAAGGTGCCCGGTGTTTCTTGCAAGTGCATTCTTCGCCTCATGAAGAGCTGCATCCCCCAAATTCTCCGCGAGCGACAAGTGCACAGGTCCCAATGACGTAATGTAGGACGAGGAGGAGGAGGAGGGGGAAGAGAGAGGGGGGAGGAGGGGTCCAGCAGTACAAATAGACATCTTGGTGTCAGTCAGGTTACAATTTGACAGGCTTATTTTTGCTCTCATGATGATAAATGAACAATAAATACTCATAATAAAACGTTCATTTTGCCTGATGGAATGTTACATTTTCAGATGTGCACTCAAACCGACACGCTGTGCTAAAAATAGTGCAATTCAAAGACACCTCTGCTCTAATTCCGTCAGCAATTTTTTTTTCTTACATATGATAATGCTGAACGCGCAGTGGAACAGCCGCCCTGCAACAATAATGACACAACCTGGCCACAAGGTGTCAGCCACGTGCTGTGTAAAAGTACCCATACAGAGGCTCCTCTCACTTGTGTGTTATAAAGAAAGATGGCATCTCAGTAATGTCGCTGCCTATTTCTGACCCTCTGACAGGCGCCGCCATCCCTGTGTAGAGAAAGATCATTTTACTGGAGCTGACTCCCTGAATGCATCATTTTCATTTTCTCCATTAGAGCCTATTCATTTGCTGTTAATGCAATGCTCTGCCACTTTTCTGGAAGCTAAATGTTTTTTATGACCTTGATTTATAGTTATCATCAAAAGCTTCACAATAGCTTGTGAATGGACACTTAGGCTAGAATGATTTGTCAACTGTTTCCAATTTTTACTAAGCCAACATAGGTTTGAAGTCCTGTGCCACTCCACCTGCCAATGAAGACCAAGTGGTATGATTGAAAGCTCATAAAAGCTGTTGTTTCCAAGGTCAAGAATGAACTCAAAAATCATTTTAGTTTCGTGTGAGAAGCTCTTTAGGGCCCTTTATAATATTATTATGAGCTTTAAACACAAGAGCACAACAAAATAACAATGTTATAATCTATTCTAACCCTCAGGAGACATTTCTCTCAAGAGATCATGTTCTCTAGCTGAAGTTCTAACACTGGCTTGGGGAAATTCTTCACTTAGCAGCAGCAGCAGCAGCTTTACAGACGGCCAAACAATAGGGCATTACAGTTGAATAGCCTGGTAATAAAGACATAAATGGGTTTGCAGAATCAATTCAAAGAAACTCAACCTCCTTAAACTTAAGGCCGCAGAGCAAGTTCCTGACTCATTCATTCACTGGAAGGCATTTTCATCCAGCTATAATTTTGAATTTTGAAGTTACAAGCATTTGGCCAATTAGATGTGATATGTGTGACATCATTTTAACTACTGCATGATAGGAAACCGGATCTTTGGTTTAATAGTCTGACATGTTTGGAACACTACATGTATTATCCACCAGATCTGTTACATGCACATTACCACACAAACGTCTCCCTTATTAATATTTTTTCCTAATTCAGAGAACGCTCACAAACTGAGATGCAGATGGCAATGAAGATTTAAGCAATTTAGGTTCACTGACATGACAAAAATTTGATTGAACCACTTCCTTCCCATGCATATGTGGTTTTTATTCTAACAAACATTTTTTGTCGTGGCTTAAATGGGGCAGTATTTTAATTTGGTTTCCTCAAAGGAAGTAGTTCTCACTTTTACACCACACATCATCATACGTGTCACACATAGTCATTTTAGCCATGCTGGCGGCTAGCACGTCCATCAGTTTGATCCAGACTGAAATATCACAGAAAATACTGGATGGACTGCCATGATGTTGTATGCAGATATTCATGGTCCCCAGTGGTCCCCTGACACTTTGTGCCACAAGCAGGTTGATGTTAATGTTTGTGGTTTGATGATGGATTTAGACATTTATGTCCCCTTCAAATTGATTTCTTTTGGTGTCACCATCAGGTGAGATTTTAATTTTGTCCAAACAACAAAAATTACTTTTCCACTGGTGAATAATTTGACCTATTACATCAAGCAGACAACAGCACATCTATCAGTAAATACTCTGAGTATGTGGGAGAACATTGGTTGAATAAAAGGAACAGGGTAGTACACTTTCATTTCACTGTCATTGGGAGCTCACCTTCTTGACTACGATGTGTAATTCAGTACCTTTTTCTGTCTTATTCTGTAAATAGTGTAGCAGAAGGCTTAACTAAGCCAAACTGTTGTGCATCTTGTGAAGTCATTGTGCCACAATTTATTTATTGATTCACTGGGCGTGTTTCTGTGGATGTATGTCGCTCAAAGATGTCTGTGCTCTCTCTCTCTCTCTTCAAGTTCATGTATTAGGTCGACAGGTTTAAATACTCAACATGGAAAATGAAAAGGAAACACCACAAAAGAAAAGCATCCAAAAGAAAGACCCGTCATCAACTGTGTATTAAAAAAAAACGTAAAATCGCGCAACTAATGTTGTTTGAAACAATAAAAGTTTCGAAAATAATTTTGGGGGGACTATTTCTTTTCATAGTGGATTCCTTTTGTGCCTGTATGTGTTGTACGTGTTCCTCATTGTGTTTTCGCCATCCATTTAGCTGACAGGGTGAATCTATGTGGGAACAGTGGAGCAGCCATCAAGCTACCTGCTCCTGTGTGTTCTGGGTTGACTTCTAACACAGTTGTGTATTCACAGCCATGTAGACATGAAGGGGTTTTGTTTGTTTGGGCAGGAAAGCTCTGTCTTTTGTGAGATTTGTCAGAGATCTTTCTCCATCTTTTGTGATTCTGCACAAGAATTTTGCGGCTGCTTTCGTCCAATTCTTTGCAGAATGTGTTTTTTTTTTTTACCGTCATTGTGTGTTTAAAATGGTGACATATTTGCTGTAATGTACACGCTTACACATTGTGGAATACAGTGAAAGCTGTTGTTGTGTAGAAGACGTTCTGGATGTTCATTGTTGCATAGAAGCACTGATCTTTATTATGCTGTAAATTGAAAAATTAGCAACGTTCCTCTGGCAGGGTTTGACTATCCAACTTTAAACCTCAAAATGTATGCCACTACATAATCTTTTGAGTTGGCAGCACGTATCTATCTTATCATAATAAGTATCCATAATTCTGAGGAGGAGTCCGTCCTGAAGTTTTAGAGTAAAACACCTTTCATGATGAGAAACAAAATATTCAAACTCTATAGAAAATGAAACTGTGCTCTCCACAGCTGGTTCTGGCACAAACTTGGCCACTGAGACTAAAACCAGTCTTTAATATGAACATTCCATCAATACAATTTAGTAAGGAATAATTTAAATTTCCCCGATTTAAAGTACAGCAAATGAGAATAACGAAAAACATATCTACTGACATCTTATCCTCTCTTGTGTTAGTAACCCTTTGGACAGTGGTTCTGTCTGTTAACCTGTGAAAGAAGTTATGTATTACTGATGAAAGAGTTGCTATATACACATATAAGACAGTGGTGTACACAGACTTAATGTGGATCAGGGGGTGAAATAAAAGAATGGGCTTCTGCACGTGGGGTTAGAGGGTATTAGGTTTAATATATCCCTAAAATCACAACAGAATGACAGGAGCACTCAGAGGGCCACTTAGGCTGAAGAGAAGAGAAACTGAAGAACTGTTGAGACTCTAGGGTTAATCTCAGCTGTCCATTCACTGGGCACCTTGGCTCAGCAGACAGGAACTTGCCTCCCCTCTGGCCGACCAAACGGGCTGCGTAAAAGGACGCAAGGCCGAACCAGAAAACTCAAGTGGGTTGTGAACTTACAGAAAACTTAAGCATTTAAACGTCCCATCGGGACACAGACATATCCTGGTTTAAAAAAGAAAGACAAAAGAAAGCATGGATACTATACACACCACTGGATCACTATGTGCCAGTATTTACCAATATTAAGTGGATTGAGCATTTAACATGATGTGACCTATCCACACTAAATACACTTTCTTTGTCAATATCATTATAAGATACAGTGTTTCCTATATGTATTACATCCATTCATTAACTCACAGCAGGCTGCAGCGTTTTTAGTGCCACAGCATCCCTTATGGCCTCATGTTATGTTACGCAACAATGATTCCAGTGAGTTCCACAGGGTGAGGTACAGATTTTAAATGTAAGGAAAAACAAAGTGATGGTATAAATGGTAAATAGCAATGATATCAGCTAGGACTGTCTTGACATCAGATTTTCACTAGACAAGTATCGAAAAGAATTCCAGATAACAATACTATAGAAAATCTGTCTTTATTTATCTATTTATTTTGGCAAATGAATTAGACTCAAATGCAAGTGCAGGGAGGTGGAGAGAGTTTGTAACTATAACTGTACAAAAGTGTCCAAACAGAACAATTACAAAAAGGCAACCAGACGAACAATGAACAAAGCATCCACAAAGCCTACCATCACTGTATTATCTTGTGTGTATTATTAGCACAATTTCAATATTTCATTTTTTTAAATATCACTGTGATGGTCAATATTGGTACATGACAACACCCCTATAGTATCAGCCTAATAGTAAATGGAAAAATACTCCTGTCTCACAGTTTTACACTCACATGGACTAAAAATGTGTAGAATCATGAAAGAAACCACCCTCAGTGTCCAGAAGGATCTAATAGGTCTAATTTAGAGTGAACTGCTTCCATTGTATTGTTTTACTCAGTATCATGTTCCTACAGGGACTGGTACCTTTGCTGTGACAAGGTGTTTTTTTCTGTGCAAAGCCATGGTGTATGATTACTCTAGTTCTTTATAACAGGGAAACCCTACAAGACACAATGCTTTTCTGGAGCTGGTCTATGGGCGACATTGTGCCTTTGTGCCCGTTTTTCTGGTCCTTTGTGTTTTATTTACAACATTCTCTGTCTCTCATCCTACATTACCCAGATCCACCGAGAGTCGGCCCCGCTTTCATTGGCCTATCTTCACTTTCCCTCTCAGCCATCGCAGTCTGGTGGGATCTGCGCACAAAGAGCGCGGAGCCAATCACAGGCAGCCTCTGATAAATCTCGACCAATGCCCGCAACCCTCTTATTTACATAGAGACGCGATTAGCCAATCGGGAGTCAGCACAGGAGAGGTTTTTGACCGCTCTGTCCAATAGCTGTGGGAGGTATAGAGTTTTGGGGAGTGCATATAATCAACATATTATCGAAGGTGCTTAGATATTGATCCTGTATTTCGAGGTAGTTCAAATTCACCTCTCTTGGACCTTCAGGCTTGACCTTAATTTTTCTGCGCTTGGTGGAGAATAATTCACGCGTAAAATGCCGAAGAGAAAGGTGAGTGTCGTTTGTGCCATCCGGATCACTTCACTGTAGTTTTTCTGCTCTTGCATTTGAGGAAAATAGCGGTGCGCGATTTTGTGGCGACGTTGAGGCAGGTGAGGTGATGCCAAAGTTTGAGGAAGCGTCTTTCAGCCCGCAGCCTTTCAGGTGTATTTAACACGTCGTTGCTTGTATGGGAGATATTTCATCAACAACATTTTATCTTTTTACACTATAAATGTCCCTGTGTTCATCTCAATGGCCGTTCCTGTGGTCGTTTTATTTGTCACTTCCCTGTCCACTGTGCGCACTGGTGAAAGTCAGACGGACCCGCCGGATGGATGGATGCGTAAGTCCCGTAGGAGACGTGCGTGATGATAATTCTTGTGGGCGCGTTTCACGCATATATGAGACTTATAGATTGTGAATAATGTGTAATCTAAGAGAAAAAAAGATCACCACCTCCCTGTCTCATTTTAGTTCTCCAGTAGCGATGAATGGTCGGCGCCAAGCCGATTGAACACACCAATAATCAGATGGAGAGAAAGGAATAAAGAAAGAGGGGATCAGAGACAATTGCCGCCGTGTTAAAAGAGGCCGTGACACTGTCTAAACAGCATTGCACGACGAGCTCCAGTGCATTGTATCACTGCATACATGGAAACTGGCTTTTCTACCATCTAAAAACTGCCATTGTCTGCGCAGATTCGCCTTTGAGGACAGAGAATGGGGGGCCTCTAGGGGCGGAGGTCGCCCATATGCAAATGATGCGATTGCCAACCTGCAGGCTAAACTAACATTGTTTTTTTTGTTTTTTTTTATGGCGGGGGTGGACTCTCCTGTGCTCTGTCCTTACCTACCTGCAGCCACCATGTTAATGATAGGATCATCTGAACGAAGCCTGACAGCCCTCACTGTGTGTTGTTAGTCAATAACTGCGTCTAAATGAATCTATGTTTATATTCCAGTATTCTTAGGGGGGCTCAGTTCTGGGCATGTAAACAAAAAGCCTCCATTAAAATGATAATCACAGCTTCAAGCCTCTGGCATCATCATATATCATCATCAGACAATATGAAGTTCCAATTACATATTTGATTTCCAACTGAGATAAAAAAAAATTCAGATTTAGATTTAATCAGATGAAACATTAGAGTTGTCCATTGATTCTGTTATTTAAAGCAAAAATACAAACTTATAGATCAATCCAGATAATACTAAATTAATTTTGAATGATGAAAGTTAAGACCTTTAAGATTCTGAGCTCTTTGTATTGTACACATATGTATTGAAATCCTTAATATATTACTCATTAAATATTCTAATAGGCTACCTGATAATGTACTGGTGGATCAGGATGAGGATGCTGCCAGGAGGAAAACTTATTATGTTGGTTGCTATTTATATTCAGCAGTTTTTTGTTTATTTAGTATGGTTTTATTATTTGCAGGACTTCAAGTTTTGTGATCAAAAGAACAAGTGTTATGAACAGGGCTGTACCCAACAATTATTTTCATTATCAAATAATTGATCATTTGGTCTGTAAAATGTCAGAAAACAGTTGAAAAATTCCCATCACTGTTTTCGCCAACCAAGCTGAAGTCTTTAAATTGGGTTAGGGTTATTTTTTTCTATCATAAAAGACTAGAAAACCAGCAAGTATTCAAAAGTGAAGCCAGTTCATTTTTAATCTATGAAAATAACTTAAATGATTTAACGATTATCAAATAGTTGCAGATTCATTTTATGTTGATAATTGATTATTTCTGCTCAAATCACACTTTAATTACATTAGTATTGGTAAGTGGAATTTCTGTTCAAAAGAAAGACATTCCTCTGAAAAATAAGAGCCTCCAAGATTGACCTTTTTCCGAAGCTATATCGCTCTATGATTTGCATTATTACCTTATTATTACTTCATCATATCATTCATCCTTGTTCACCACAATAATGATATGCATGACTGAACAGAATAAACCCTAATGAACCAAATCCGATTGTCCTAATCACCAGTTTTTAACTATAGAGGGGTAAGATCATGCTGTGGGTGTGTGTTATGGATGGGGGGCTGTCTTGTGTGTGTGTGTGTGTGTGTGTGTGTGTGTGTGTGTGTGTGTGTGTGTGTGCACCTGGAAACACTCACCGTGGTAACAGTCTCTCTATTTGTTGCTTTATTAACTACAGTCTCCAGAGGGTCCTGAGGGCAAGGAGGCCTCCAAAGTCACAAAACAGGAGGTAAATGTTTCGGGTGTGTTTGTGTGCTGTGCGTGGGCGTGCAGGCGTGTGTTTGCGTGCTGTGTTTTTTTGTATTGACAAAGAGTGAGCGTGCGTGTGTGTGTGTGAGAGAGAGAGAGTGAGTGAGACAATAGACACATGACAGGTTAATGATTAGGACACTTGTAGCAGTCACCAAACAGATCAGCTCAAGATCAGGTCGCAGAGGTACAACTGATATCTCTCTGTCTCTCTCTCTCTCTCTGTCACTGTCTCTCTCTCTCTCTCTCTTGTCATCATCCCTTGCTCCGGTAGCCCACCAGAAGGTCAGAGAGATTGTCAGCGGTAAGTTTTGTTCTCCCCTCCCTGTCTTCACCTCTGTCACTGTCCTCTCCTTCCTCTCCCCGCCTCCCCCCTCCTCCCGCCTCAGCCTTGTGAGATAATAAGTGGCATATTACCAAAGCTCAGAGTAAAGTCCTCACCCAGTTTATGGATTTGATCAGTGCATTTTTACAAATTCCATAAAAATGCTCCCCTTTGCGTCTGGCTTGGTATGCATGTCTTTTCTCTGTTGTCTTTGTCCATTCTCAGAGTGGTCTGTAGCAACACCTTGTTGATGTGTTGGGCTGCACGATTACAAGGGTGCATATTGCAATTTTATATTCTAAGAGTTAATGAAGGTAGAATATTATTATAATTCAGCTAAACTTACTAATACTACAACTATACTTGGAAAAGTTTGCATCCAAATCCTGGTAAAACTAATGATTATGGATAGAAGCCATCATTATATTATCCAGCAAATGTATCGTTAGGTGATCGCGCAGCCCTGCCATACAGACCATGTGTTTTTATCTGTGTTGTAATTTGCATGTTGAACTCATCCCTTTTGAGTCTTTGCATGTGTTTGTACATTTGCATGTGCACTTTAAAGGAATAGTTTGACATTTTGGGGTGTACGCTTATTCTCTTTCCTGCAGCAGGTCAGATGAGAAGATTGATAGCACTCTAGTGTCTCTATTAGGATTGTTCCTAACAACTTATTTCACTCTCGATTAAACAGAAATTTAAATTTAGACTAGTCAGCTAGTCTACATACAACCTTATTTTAATTTTCTAGATCAGAATACTGCCAAACTGCGCTGCAGCCTCGGGCTAGTAGCGGGCAGCTGCGGAACATCTTGGACGCAACGGTTAATCACCGTTGTAAATTAATAAAATAGTTTAACCCACTAGTATTTCTGGTTCCTACTAGTGAGGGTGGCAGCGTTCTATTGTTTAGTTGACTAATCGCACAGTGTTAAAGCCACAAATTGACTCTTTCTCGGCCAGATGACTTGTGGAGCTGTTTCCCCTTGTTCCCAGTTTTTATGCTAAGCCAACTAAGCTAACTGTCAAGCTAAGTTGGCTGTAGCTTCATTTTTAACAGACAGACGTGAGAGTGGGAAGACGAAGAAAGAATAAGTGTATTTTCCCAAAATGTCAGCCTACATCTTTAAGCTTTTGTGACACTTTTCAGGAAACATACTATCAGAAAATGTTTGCATGTTTCCTGATTTGATTTGAAATTTCCTTTGAATGCCTTCAACTTCAATTCAATTAATTAATTTCTTGTGTTTTTCAAATCGTTCTCCCTAATTGTAAATGTTAAGCTCCACTTGCCTCAAAGTAAGAGGAACTTGTGTCTTTCATTTATCGTCTCATGTGCAGAGTGTCCGTAATTGCTAAAGGAAAACAGGGATATTCTGAGAAAAAATCACATGATTTGATTTCACAGCAGTGTTACTGTAGCTCGTGGCTTCAGGGTAACGTGGTCCACACTCAGCAGCCTGGAAAAAGCTCTGAAGCAAACTTGCTCACACTGACTGGCTAGAGTTTAAACTCCCATCTGATATAGTCATTGCACAGTGGTCTGAGGTTAGTTCACTTTTAGAAGAGGCAGATATTTAAAACTACTTAGCACGGGGATATTGTCAGATCCCATTGCTTAGGAAATACAGTACAAGCACTTCATCATTATTAACATTTACAGTGGGATCCAGTGCAGACATTCCAATCCTCTGTGGGCTCTGTTCATCCTAATGAATTTTCTAAGATGCTCTTCTGGCTAAAGAAATATTATATTAAATGGTAGTGAAAGACTCTGCAAGAGCGGAAAGATAAACTAATATTTCTCCAAACACTATAAACTTATTAATAATGTCAGCTTGGTCAGTCCTAACTGGCTTTCGTGTAATCTGCAGAAACCTGCTCCTCCACCCAAGCCTGAGGTCAAGCCCAAGAAGGCCATCGTCAAGGTAGAGCGCGTGCACGCACACACACACACACACACACACACACACACACACAGCCACCCCTGCAATGATTTATTTAAATACCCATAAATTTGCAACAGTCTGAGGGAGACAGTTGCCTCTCACTACTAGTCTACTAGAGTCTATCAGTTTATGCACTTAACAGAGGCTGCTGGATGTGGAGAACAAACACAGAACTCCTCATATTGCAGTTCACACATTATATTTCAGCTACACCTACAGTATCCAGGGCTCATTATTTTTTCTCCAAACATCTTGGAATTAACTGGTATTTATTTCAAATATTAAAGAGTTGAGAAAATGTTATAAAACTGTAATTTACAGCACCAACATTCTCGAGTTTAAACTTTTATAATCATCATTTTGTCTTCCCTTTCTATTATGAGGGGCAGGACTGTTATTTAACAGCAGGAAACTGAGGGAAAAAAACTTACAAATGTTAAAATTTTGGTTGAAATTAGTTTCACTTGGAACAATCTTTTAACAAATCTGGATATTTTGGGGTGAAAGTGAGAAAAAATCCAAATGAGGAGCCACACACATACAAAAGATCATCATACAGAGAACATTTTTCATGTGCGATAACATCTGTCAGCATCATGTGTATATGCAGTGTATGTTCTTGTAATGTTTTCTGTACAGAAGGTGGCAGATGATAAGGGGGTGAAGGCAAAGAAAGGTGGCCCTAAGGGAAAGAAAGAAGACGGCCCTGCCCAGAACGGAGAGACCAAGACCAATGAGGTATGTAGAGTGAAAAATCGAAAGAATAAAATACATCTCAAAGAGGAAAATATACATTGACTCTGAGAGAGACAAGAAAATAACAATCTTTTATGCCCTTATTTTGTCAATTTGTGTATAAACGTGAACACACGTATGCATGCACCACACCTATATTCCTCCATAACCCACTGCTTAACCACATTACTAATAATCACATCTCTCACACATATGCACGCTGAACACACACAAACACACACACACACACACACACAGATCTATGTGTCTCGTCCGTCTGTCAGTGTGTCATCCATCAGAAGCACGGCCCCCTCCATGATGTCAGTGAGAGGGCAGAGTGAGACAGTCAGAGTTAAGGGTATGGTCGAGTGTTTCTAATCCATCTTTGGTGTGTTTTGAACACTAACATGTGGTACAATTTACACTGACATTGTACATGAATCGTGCAAACATTTACCCAGTGTGCTTTGCAGTGCTGTGTGTGCTGGCAAGAGAGAGAGGATGAAAGAAAGTGCAGTGAGAGAGAAAGCGAGTGAAGAAGAAGTGAGGATGTGTGGCGGTTTCCTCGCTGTGTGCAGTGAAGTGGGCCAAGGACAACTTTTTACACACGAGCAGGAAGGTTCAGTGCTGCTCGCAGAGTTGTGACGTAGAGGATGATAGGCTGACTGTGCTCATAGACAGCTGGCTCCACCAGTCTGCAGGCAGAGGTAACAGACAGGAGATGTTCACTCCAGTAAGACTGTGCACGCACACATGCACGCGCGCGCACACACACACACAGCCGGATTCCCTTGTTGAGATAATGTTGATTCCCGCTGATACCAGAGGAGTTATGGGTTTCAGTGAGTAGCTTTTAAGAGCAATGTAGTGAAGAAAGTGAGCGCTCTCGTGTGTTGTGCAAGAGTGTATCTGTCAAAAAGGCCAATCTCGTGGACACATTTTAGTCTGAAAAATATTCACTGAGGATCATTTGAGCTGACAACTTGAAGCTGGTATCAGTCTCACATTTAAGAGTAAGTTCAGTCTAATCACAAACATATTTTTTAGTGGTATATAGTCATGTAGCTTTGTGTTTTATTTGCTTAGGGTTTTCAGATGGATGTGTGGTGTGTGTGTTCTATGCTCAAATCAATGAGAAATGGCCCTTGAAAAATTCAATGGCAGCTGGTCTTTTCAGAAACAAGGTTGCAGACACTGTTGATACTCCACAGACCTAACTGTGAACAGTTGTCATTGGAACTACTTTCTCTCTCCTTGGGAGAACAGTTTACAGGTTATATGTGAAAATCTTTAAACCTTAGTGCAAAAAACTGAAACCATCACCACTTGCCAAGAGTTAGCTTAGCATAAAAGTACGCTTCAGATACTCCACTGACCCATTTCTTTCCATGAATATATTCAGAGAAGATTTCGGGTTAAATTTTAATGCTTACAAAACAGTTGCTGTCTTTCTCTGTTTTGAAAACCATTGCCTTGTTCCCAGAAGTTGCAAAGCTGTTTGATTACTTTGCCCCAAAGTAAAAACCCCAAACCACTTCAGATCTGCGGCACAGGCTGAGGCAAAGTTACTTAGATAAGTCGGTAAAGATGCTTCCAGCGACAGACCCATCAAGCTAAAACCAGGCGCAGCCAAGCGAGTTTCACATTCATTCAGGTTATGGAACAAGATCACCTTTCATCTTGCAGCTGGTTAAAGGCTGATTTAGTTACATGCAGAATGAATTTGGTCTACACCCACTGAGGACTTGCCAGGTGAGTCTTGGCAGAGCAAACCAAGCCAAGTGAAAGTTGTAGGTTGGCTTTTTGAGGCTACTCTCAGGGGAAACTACCTGTGGAGAGAATAAGACTTGACCCAGCGTGTAACTCCTTTACTTTCTCCTCTTCCTTCCACCAGGTAACTGAAGCAGCGGAGGATGCCACTGAGGAGAAGGCGTAAAGACACGGACGCGTCCACCGACTCGTCCCCTCTTACTCCATGGCAGCAAAGCATCTTTTTTTACTGACGATTTTTGTACCATGCTGAATTTTTTTTAGACTTGTGATAGTAGAGATGGACAACCAGCAGCCCCATGCCCATGTGTTCACACTCCTTTCAGCTCCTCCACCTACAGTATGGTTTTTGCTCGATTCTCCTCCCTCCTCCATTCTGCATCGCTATACAGTCCGCCTCTCAGACGCAGAAAGACAGAATGAAGTGGTTTTATCAGATGGCTGCAGATGTTCTTCAATTTGCCTGAAGGGGGGCCGTAAACACGACTGTTATGATCTTTAAACCAGCTCTGCCTATATTTGTAGTTATACTTCTCTACAAAAGATGATCACTATTCTCGGGCACTCTGACTGATTCAGAGATGCTCCATTCTCCCCCCTGATGGTAAAGTTGAGGACTTGTGGATATGTGTCAGCAATGTGGATGCAGAGCTGCAAGAAACCAGGTCCGTAGTCGCCATGGAGAACATCTGCAGCTTTTTAAAAATCTTACTTTTACGGAATTACCGCCACTGTGTTTCACATAGCTCCTTTCGTACGTGTGCGGGAGTGAATGTGTTTGTGCGTCTCTGTGTTTGACTTTGTTCACTTTGCCCCCCACCCTCCCCAGCCCCCCGAACGCCTTGTCCTGCAGCAGAGTGACATAGCAATAATGAGTGGTGCTTCTGTTCTAGACGGCTCTATTGGCTTTGGACCCTCTGGGCTTCTCTGAATTTCATCCTGTTGGGAGAATATTTTGAAATAAAAGAAAAAGTTGATGTCACGTGGGAGTTTTTCTGTGTCTCTTCTCTTATTGGTGAACAAAACTACGTGTGCGGAGTTATGTATGTTGTGCATTGCATGTGTATTATCTCTAGTTAGACAGCTATGCCAAATTTTTGTTCTAACCACTGGTATACTGTAATCGTATACCATCACCCGTGCTGGTTTTTGTAGTTTGGAAAACTCAGGTAATCTGTGCAAAGCTCAATGCATGTGTTTGCATGTGGCATGTGTGGTGCTTCAGTTCTAGAGCTCCTTTTCAGTGTGCTCATGTTCAGAGTTAGTTTTGAAACCAAACACAAAGCCAGCGCTGTGTGTCTGTGTATATCTTTGTGTGTGTGTGTGTATGTGTATGTGTGTGTGTATGTGTGAGGTCGCCAGGGGCACGTGGCTGTGTTAAATACAATTGCTGTGTCAGGAAGTGAAAGGTCAGCATTTGCCAGAGTGGTGGGACCTGATGAAACCATACAGTCTCTTTATTGAGGGACAAGCTGTCACTCACACTCATAGACCAATGACATGTTCCCCTTTTTAACATGAGGAGGTGTGGAGTGATGATGTCTGAATACCACAGATACTGGAGAGGCCAATTAAAATGTATTATCAGGAGCCTCAGTAAACAGTATGATACCTCTTTTAACAAGGATGTAACAGCAGTAGGAAAGTGCTGAATACATATAAATATTTACTTGAAAGGTTTGTTTTTCAAAGTAAAAAATCTCTCACCTTCCCTAAATTCCCACATTTTAACCCCTATACCATATCATTGATATCTAAAGTAATGCTGCACAGGTACCATAGTGATGATTAAAATCTTTGTGCTGGCATTCTTGTGGCTACAAGAAGATGATGACAGTGAATAATGGTGATAAATCCATCCCAGCTTGCAGTAGAGCCACAAGGGCAGTACAGTACAAGCAGGGTTATATACAAGCTATGACTTAACAGCACAGCAGGTGCATAGAGATATCAGCCTCCTGGAATAATATCTTTCAGTTTTTGTGGCATTTTTGAATATTATATATATATATATACACACAGAGAATGGAGTATTGTATCTAACCAAATCTCCAAACCTTTCAGCAGTCTTCACAGTGTATTTGCAGAAATATACATGAGACATGGTAAAAACTACAGGATACAGTTTGGTACAGAGCAAGGATTTATTTGGTCAACACCAATTAAGCTCAAAGAGTTTCAGAATAATAGAAGATGTAGCAGTTATAGAACTTTTGTGTCCCTTACAAACACTAGATATCTCCTGGTGGACTGTGTGTTGGGTAAGACAAGCTCAAAGCACATCAGTGAATTCCTATTTATGTTACAGGAAGAGAAAATGTGTAACTGATTACATTTCTCCTCGGAACCCATAACCTTTGACACCTCTATGGCCCCCTGCTCAGCTGAGTGGTACAGAGTGAGATTGCCTCCTTGTGGCCATGTCAGTCAGCACAATAACAACTACACTGGATGGGTCAGGATGAAAGGTAACCTGGAAGAGATTGGCTGGGCCTAAAAATTCAAACCTGGCCCTATTCCACAACACAGTGTGTTTTTATTTCCAAGCCATAAAGCCTGTGAAATATGTTGTACAGATTGCAGGATGGTCTAGAGGTTTAAGAGACCATACATCAAGTGGGTGACACATCTAAAGCTGGTACTAGCTCCCTAACAGCTGTCAGGTTGCTGTATAGTTGTTGAACTTTCTATGAGTTTCTTAGATCAATAGGGGGCCGCATGCAAAAATAAAAATATCAGTCATCAACTAAGTATCACATTATCATTATCATTATTATTACTATTATCATCATCATCATCATTATTATAATTATTATTTTCATTACATGTCCTGTATTTAGTTACGTACAGTATCTGTAATGAAAGGTGTTGTTGCTTCACTGTTCTTGGGATTACACCCCAAGCGACAAATTCAGCCTTACATGACATGAGCACATTTGGCACAGCTAACCTAAGTGTCAAACCAACCCGTCAAACCAGTGGAGGGTCAGTATTTATAAGTGGAAGCAAAAATGGCAAAATATGCCTCCTGTTTTGTCTCAAAGAAAAAAATACGCCCACCTATGTTCCAGAAGACTTTTGACATGGAAATATATGGCAGTTGATGTAGCCACTGGATGATCACATCCTCTGTAGAGTTTCTGCCTGTCTGATATAGTGTCTGTATTATTAGTGGTTGACACAGCCACAATTAACCCACAAGTGCAAAGTAAAGAATATAACAATGTAAATAACGGCAACAAAAATGGGATTTTGAGGAAAGTGCATGTATTCCAAACTGCCTGTCACCTTTGCAAAACAAATACCAGCTTAGGGCATGATATGGCTACATGTATATAAGTTTTATATACTGAATATTCATCTGATTTTTCAAGTCTTGTTAAGTCTTAAAGAGAATTAAATTACTCTGTTTAAATGAGAGGAACAGTAAGTGTGTGTAAACTGATGACATAAGGGTGTCTGCAATTCACGAGAAAAACATATGTAATGTGAAAAGCTACAATAAAGCTGTTAATTAAAAAACTGATAATTTCTTTATTTTCATTCAAAATAAGTTTTGGTGTTTTTTAATGTCATCAGTGTCCTTTCAGACACAAACTGGCTTGTTCCTTTATGTCTCTGTTAAGTGACGTGTACGCAACGTTAATAGCAGAGTTGTGTCTATACCAGTGTCTGTGATTTCTGAAATGACACTATTGAATCGAAAAAATATTTGGCAATATACATTGTATACAAAGATAAAATAATACCTTATTGAGGTAAATTACACCATGTAAGCACCTGCTCACATTCACATGGTTTATACAGAGGTGTAAAGAAAGAACAGGGAAGAAAATGTGTGGAGAAAAAAAAAATCAAGCTATACCTTTTCAGTGGTGTTTGAAATACGTTCACACGTGCACACTGAATTTAAGGTTGTGGGTTTCCTGGTTGCTGCAACAAAACAGTATTAGCCTCACTTTCAAGGTGGATTGTTTTGTAGTTAATAAACTAATCTCAAAGCACTTCAACCTTAATGTAAAGAGATTGTGCTAATATCGAGTAGTAATTACAGTAATTACTTATGCTTTCATTGATGTCTTACTTCAAATAAGAAAAGCAGTTTATGAGGTCAGTAAGAAAAGACTTGAGGTTTTTTTTTAAGTTGACTGCCTTAAAAATAGCTGTTCAATAAACACATACGCTATGTCCTTCACATACATAATATAATATGATTTGATTGTCCAAAAATAGCACCTGAGTGTTGTTCCTTTTTTATTCACAGGTGTCTCATGAACCTCAGAGAAAGTGTCCTGTCAGTCATGTAACTATTTTCTGAATAATCTTCCTTGATAGTCTATCTTGCATAAATGTCTCATTGCCATTAAATTCCTGTAACTCACGAGGTTTCATTCATTAAGCTGCATTCCCCTTCTTCTCCAACCCTTCCCCCATTTTACTGCCTGGCAGTATTTGGAAGAGAAATGGACGACTTCCCCACCAAACGGCTCCCAGAGAGAGTGGGTGTGTTAGCTAGACATCTTGTTACACAATACCAACAGTATTAACAAGCGAGGCCAACGAGAACACACAGAATTATCACAGCTAGCTGTATTATTTAATGGAACCTAGCTGAAGCGGTTAGATCGGCTATAAATCCCTCTCAAACACGGTAGCCATGTTTTACATCCGCATGTAAAAATACAGGAAATACAACCGAATTTACGGTGTATCAATGCGCAACTAAATTAAATGTATGTAAGAATAAGACTGTAATTATTAAAACATGATAAATGTCAGCTAGCTACGGGGTAAGAGCTATTCTGCAGCAATGTATCCTCTCCTTTAGCACGCTGCCATTTCTACCTCCCCTCTACAGTGGCGTGCGTGAAACACATGGTATTCCTCCGCAGAGGGCTTGCGCTTTTTCCTTTGAGGGGGAGGGGGATTTAAACAAACATGCCTCCACAATCGAACGACCGCCACTAAAATTCACCCCGAGGGATATTTACCCCCAGAATGTCGTGGCGGTTGGTTCTTTACAAGAGGAAGACGGTGTTTTATGGGGTGAAACGTATAGCGCGCCCTAATTGCCGCTTCGCGGAGGAATACTCGACGCAGCCGGGACTTTGTGTGAGCAGAGCTGAATGGAGGCAGCCTCTTCCTGGTGGATAAACAGTGACAGCTACAGGGCAGCCACCTAGACCCACCACACAGGCTCTGGCGCTGCCCTGGCAAACAACACCAAAATGGCTTCAGACAGTACACACATCGCGCAGTTGACTTCTGGTGAGTAAAGGAGATCGGAAAATATGTCATGGTTGTTTTAATATCCCCACAATTTCCTCGGTGCCCTCTTCTAACGCAGCTCCCGTCCTCTTCTCCCCCTCCAACCATACCAGAACTGTACTTCCTAATAGCCCGATTTCTAGAAGCTGGACCGTGTCAAAAAGCAGCCGAGGTTGGTGTTTTTGCATTTAAGAATAATTTATAATATGTCCGAAATTGTCATGGGGTGTAATTTTGTATTTGTATCCTATTTTCAGACCCTGATAAGGGAGGTGGAGGAGAAGGAGGTAAGCAGTCAGCAGTACGAGAGAGATGCTTCTCCCTGCACTGTACTTTGTGATGTTGCTTTTACTCTGATTTATCATTTACTGTTTTAAAACATCACTCGATACATTTATGAACTGGATGATCACACTCGACACTATTTTTCCACCTCAGCTGCTGCCCAAAAGACTGGACTGGACGGGGCAGGAACACCCCGGGACGTATGAAAATTTGGTAAGGGAGCCCTATAACTGAGGAAAAAGTTTTTAGAGAGCAAAATAAAAATTGAATTTCCCGCAATTTTTAAATCAGGTGGTAAAGAAAAAACTGAATAGGACTTTGCAGGGCGAGCTGGCTGCAAGTTGGGGCCGTTTTGGGGCATCAAGGGGTCGGGTCCCAGCCTCATGTGCACCGTGGTGTGCGAGTTTGGTACCATGCATATCCTAAAGG